AATTATTTACTTTTCGCGGGAAATTAAATTTTCATTGAAGTTCAAAGTTTAGATAAAAACTTTAGTATCTATACTGATTCGTTCAAGGGTTTACTATCGATAAAATTGATTCGATAGTTGATTTTTTTGGTGCGTAATCGGTCCAGGGATTTTTATTTACCAATTTTCAAATTTTTTTATTCATTCACTCTCGGAAAATTTTACAGAAATTTCGAATTTCCGAGTTTTCTATCAATAAAATGAGTTTATTAACTGATTTTTAAGTGGTCCGAGGATTTTTATTTACTCATTTTTTAATGTTTTCATTCATTTATCATCAGAAAATTGTATAGAAATTTCGAATTTCTGACCTTTCTATCAAAAAAAAAATATTATAAAACTGGTCAAAATTGACCGCTAATCACTTCATATCATTGGAAATTTTTTTCAAAAAGTAAAAAAAGCCATAAGAATTTTCAAACACGAAAAAGCGCAAACTCGAATATTATCATCATTCACCCACCCAGCGGCTCAAAATTAAAGAATTCAAAGTTCTGAGAAGGAAAGTGCGCTCGGGAATACATTAATTCATCAAATGGCTGGGAAAATATATTTCATTTTACTTGAATTGAGTTTTTTCCAATGTTCACCACGGTTCACCAGTGAAGCGTGACGTCCTTTTTGGAATTTCATCTTTTTTTGTATGAAAGTTTAATCATCTTGGGCATTCATGAATATCCATTTTCGCATGTTTTCGAATGTTTTTGAAAGGAAAATTCAGTATTAGAATCGTTTTAAGGTCTTTCTATATTTTTGAAATACTTTAAACATTGTTATAAGCTTTGAAATCACAGAAAGAAAGCTCAAAAAAAGAAATGAGTAAATAAAAATCCTTTTTGAAAAATTAGAAGCCAAGAAGATCTTCAAATGCGATAAAATCCGTCTCGAAGTTCGAATAGAGCAAGATTTTATTCCATTTTACTGATTTTTAAAGATTTTTCTAGCAACTTCAAGTACTAAGACCACAAACTAAATGAAAAAAGCAGTCTTTTAAATTTCAAAAAATTCAAGGAATCTTTTTTCTGTTCTCTGGAAACTTCTCATGACTTTTTGATTTCACTGAATGTTTTTCTGGTCTGAAAACTTGAATCGGAGGAAAAAATGGAATGTCTAGCGAGGTTTCTCATGATTTATTGAGTTCCTCAAAATTTTTCGTTTTTTCAAAATATTTTCCAGGCAATTTTCTGAACCCTTGAACTGTCTGCAAAACTAGGGAGAAGTGTAGTTTTTGTCGACAAAAATTAACAATTTCGAAAACTTGATTTTTCGCAAAAATATATAAAAATTTGGAAAAACGTTTTTTTAGGAGCTTTTTTTGGGAGGTTAATAGATTTAACATAGTTTTGAAATTATATAAGTTATAATATATATCAAAAATAGATTTTTGTAAATCGACCGAATTTGCATTCCATCGAAGAGAGGAGAATTTTAAAAAAATAAACCAAAGATTTAAATTTTTCCGATTTTTCTGTTTTATTAATTTAATTTCAACTCAATTTGATGGCTTTTGAGAACTAATAAATTTGAGATTTGAATTATTTTTGTAGAAGATATGAAATTTGAAAAAGTGATGGTTTTTTGTAACTTTTTTCAAAACTTCCATCAATTTCTATGGATTTTAGATATTCAAGGGAAATTCCGATAAACTGACCTTTTTCAATGTAACTAGCTAATAAAAATACCTTTTAAAGTAAAATATCAGTTAAAATTTTTTTCCTTCTTACAGAAACTTCTTTCAAATTTCAACTCTTCCTGAACATTTATTAACCAAAAAAAGGACCTCAATTATAAAGTTAATTAAAGTTGTTTCAAGTTTCCCGACAACATGTGAAGTGACCAACGATGAATAACATATTTTTTGTTTCAAACACACACAAAAAAAAAACGAACGAACGAAAAAAAAAAGAAAAAGAGAGCGGCGGATAGTTAATTAAATTTCGCCCGGCCGCCGAGAGACCACCCACTTGTCAGCTTCTTTTCGATTCTCAAAAAAAAGCGGAATTTTTTGGCCCTCTAAAGTTGCGATCCAGATTGTGTGGTCCTTTTTTTGGGATTTTTTTGTAATTTTATTCGAAAAACTTTGATTTATTTTTGTAAAATAGGGAAAAAAAGGCCAAAAAAACGAATAATAAAGCGATTTTTTTCAAGTTATATTCGCAAAAAAATTTGGCCTTTTCCATGATTTCTTAAGGTTTTTTTAATCAGAGAAAAAAATGTTTAAAAAAAGGCATTTTTTTGGATTTTTTTCTATTGTAAGGTTTTGATTAGTTGCTTATTTATTTATTTTTTGATGAAATAAAATAATTCTGAAGAAGATTATAATTTCTAAGGGCGAAATTATCAATAAAATGAGGATTGATTTTTGTAATTCTGGCTATTTTTTTCAACTATGAGTGATGAGAAAAAAATTTGATTTTTGATTCGATAAAAATTTTTTTCATTTTTTTAGAAGTTTGTTTGACGGCTCTGAACGTATTTTTTTAAATTTCGTCACGAAAAATAGGAATTTTTTTGACGTTTTTTTAATGAATAGAGAACATTTTTCTTCACTTCTTCTTCAAAACTTTTGAATTTTCAAATCAAGACAAGTCCTGATTTAATTTCTCACTTTTCTCTCTTTTATAACTACCAAAACTAGTTCAAACGTGTCTTGAATTTGAACTTGTGCTGAGTCTGTGTTGAAGATTTTTCGAATTAAAAGAAAAAAAAAAGCCATTTTTTCCTGTTGAAGCATTGCTTTTTTCCTCTAAAAAATGTCCTCTCATTCTGAAGAAAACGAGGAAAATTTGGCCTTTTGGACTGGAAATTACACTTCTTTTTTTTTCCCATTAAGCTCCGCCTTAAAACTTGGGCGGAGCCTTGACCTTATGGGATTCTGAGCTTTTCACTTTTCTCTTATTTTTCGAACTTTGGCAGAGGTCGGATCAAGTGCAAAGTTCGCCCTATGGCCAAGCTCCGCCCAATTTTGGAGGTGCTTTTTAATGGCCGTTTTTTAGAGATTTTGGTTTTTTTTAAATTTCGAAATGAAGCCTGTTCATATTCACCTTGAAACTTTGAAAAAAATCATTTTTTTAGCCCAAGAAAATTGTGCAAGATTATTTTTTTAGATTTATAAATTCGAAAGTTAAATTTTTTTACTTTTTCGTTGATTTTGTTCAGAGCTTTACAGAAGTTAAGTTCTTAGGAAAAACTGGGAAATAATATTTTTTTAGTTTTCTTTTTTTAAATATTGCAAAACTTTCATGAACTTATGGGGATTCTTCTACATGGAAAGACTTCATAATTCTTCTACATGGCAACTACCCGTTGAAATTTCATGATTTTTCTGAATTTGGAAGCTTTTTTTCTCCTTTTTTTAAGTTGCTGTACCGATAGATTTTTATTTTTTTGAGAAAAAAATGTCCGCATTTTAAAGATCTAAGTTTAAAAAAATCCAACAGGCTTTAAAAATCTAAAAAAATTTCAAACTAATCTTGTTTCAAACAGAAATTGTAATTTAAAAAAACTCAAAAAAATCAAAAATCTTAGTAAAATGCGCTCCATGGTAAATTCGTCTCGTGCCTCGGTCATGGAAACCAGGAACGCTCCAGACCTTTCTGAGCAATCCTAGGGATCACTTAAGTAGGCTGATGCTACTAAAGTGGTCCCTAGAAGTGCCCCGACACGTCCGGTTCGCGTTACCAAGGTCCAAGATAAACCAGGAGAAGTTCAAGCTCCATTATTTTTTTTTTCAAGAAATTGAGGACTTCATAATTCTTCTACATGGAAAGGCTAATCTATGAAAAGGCAAAAATTAAAAAAAAAAAAAAAGTTAATCCCTTTGTAGTTGTCAAAATCTTGTCTGAGACCTGAGTTTCCTCTTTCTTTCTGCAAAATTCGAAGATTTCCTGCTAATAAGGCCTAATCTCACAGTGCAAAGTACGCCTAATGGCCATTCTTCTCATATTTTCCCACACAAAAATGGGCGGGACTTGGATTGCTCATATTCCTCATTAGCAGCCTGTTCTTTGCTCCGCAAGTGCTTGTTTTCCCGTTGTCTTTCTTCAAATCTTGTTGATTTTTGAAAAAATTGTTAGGTTAGTCTAAGCTTCACAAATTCCCGTCCAGTTGGCTTTTTTGGAGTTTTACTTCAAAGGTTTTTGTTTGTAGCTACGATCCTTAAACCAATATTTCTGGAAAGTTTTTCAAAAACTGGAAATTCAGAAGTTTTTACATGATCCTCGGCTCATTTGCTCGCTGCTCTGGTCAATTTTCTCGTCGGAAAGTTGGAAAACTCGCATTTTTCTCAGAAATCATTTGATGACTCATCTCGTGAGTGTTCTCAGTTATTCTATCTAGCTTATTACCCCGTTTTTTTTTTCAAAAAACTCAGACTACGATTTTGATACAATTTCTCATATTCATTGCACATTTTGAATGGAAAAAAATCTGACGGAATTTTATAGGTACATTATTTTCATGTTATTTTTCATAAATGTTCAGCAAATGTCTTCAAATATTATTTTGAGAAGATCCTAGCTATTTTATCTATCTATTTTCTATTTTCTATTTTATCTATTTTATCTATTTTGAACAGTTTTCTGTCTATCTATTTTGAACAGTTTTCTGATGGTAGTTTATGCCATGACCCACATTTAAGGTTAAAAAATGACCTTTTGGGTCTCGAAATGCTTTTTTTTCAGCCTCTGCGCCTTTAAAAATAATATCTGTTTATCCTCAACTTATAGGGTCATTTTTGGAATTCGGACAGTTGAAAATCGGTAAATTAATAAACTCCGAGCATTTCTTCAAAAATTGGCAAATTGATTTTATTTACATAATGTAATTTTTTTTCGCGAAGTTTCTATTTTTTTTCTGAATGATGACGTCATTTTTGAAATAATCGCCTTGCTTATGTCTCTCAAGAACTTGTTCAAAATTCACACAGAATTCAAATTTTCACTCTTGCAGGTAATAAAATGATGTTCCGGCACGAGTCGGCTGACACGTGGCGTCGACGTCCACTGGAGCGTCGTACAACGGACGCCAGACGGGGCTCGGTCGTCGATTGGATCAACGGACTTACGGATAACAATCCGAAACCCCAAGGATCCGCCGCGACGAACGCTTGGACCACTAGGTGGGCTATGATAAAATTCGTTTTTTCTGGAAAGTTGACATATCCGAACAGATGGGGGTTGGAGAAGCTCGAGGAGACCTGATAAGGAGATTTTATTTTAAGTTTCGGTTAAGACTTTTTCTGAAAGTTTGCTGGTCTAGTTTTTAACAAATTTCCTGTAGATGTGAAGTTTCAAATTTGAAAAATTGGTGTTGAATACAAACCCTGCCAATAACATTTTTCCATTTCAAACGTTAAAATCTCAGAAAGCAGATCATTGGCCATCTAGCGACTATAAGGTACTTCTGTTTAGTCCTGCAAAGAGTAGTAGGACGAATTTTCAGAAAACTTGGAGCTTCAGAGCAGAATGACCTCATTTGTGAGTAAAAACGATTTTCATTGAGTTCGTTGGTTTGAAAAAAGTTGAACTAGACCTTCGGATCTTAAAAAGCTTTTTGGAACTCTATAAATGTTATATCGACTTTGTCGGGTTATTTGAACAGTTTTATGAGATCCTACGCATTTCAAAAAGTTTATGGAGGTTTTGGCACGCTTTTGAGAATGCTTAAATTTTTATATTGACTTTTTAGGGTAATTTGAAAATTTTTATGAGATCCTGCGCATTTTTATAAGGTTTTTGGTTCTTTCAGCAAGCTTTTGGAAACGCGTTGAATTTTATATCGTATTTATTAGAAAAATTCAAAAAGTTACGAGATTTTGTGCTCTTTTAAAAAGATTTTGGTGGTTTTGGCAAGCTTTTGAGAGCTTTGTAAATTTTATATCGAGTTTTTTGGATAATTTAGAAAATTATGAGATCTTAAGTATCTCTGAAAGGTTCTTGGAGATTTTGGTAACCTTGGAGAACACTATGAAGTAGTTGGAATCGAAAATCATGTATTCAGAAGCGAAGACGAAAGGGAGACCCGGAATGGAAGCGTGGCGGCGGTTGAAGACGTCGCGCCGGATGAGACCACCCAACATAAAGACCAACTGATTTGCAACCTGAAGAGAGAGGTTGGAAAAAGCTACTTTCCGTATTTATTTCACTTAGGTACATAGAAATTTATATTTCCTTTGGATTCACTGAGAAACCTTTTCACAGAGGTATCATTGCGAAAAATGAAAGAGAAGTAATTGGAAGCGATCCTTTAAGGGGCCACTTCAAACGCAAAAACCGTGAGTAGTCATTTCGAAATCCTCCTGAGGTCCTGAGGAAATTTTCCTAGGAAATTTCCGTCCAAAAATCACTTGAGGGATCACTTGGACGATAAAGTCTTCGAACGGTTTCTAAAAAAATCAGAGATGAATTATTTCTTTTTTTGAAAGAGGTTGAGAATTTTTTACAATGGGAAAGATTCGAAGAAGCTGAAGTGACCACTTAAGTAAATTCTAGGAGTTTGAGTCTTGAAATTTTTCATTATTTTTTTAGTGAGAAGCTTAATTTTGAGAAGCTGAAGTGATCATTAGAGAAATCCTCCGGAGGTCCTGAGGAAATTTTCCTAGGAAAGTTCCGTCCAAAAATCACTTGAGGGATCACTTGGACCATAGAGCCTTCAAATGGTTTCTAAAGAACCACGGATGAATTCTTTCTTCTTTGAAAAGGTTCATGAAGTTTTTCTCGTCAGTGGGAAGAATTTGGAGAAGATGAAGTGGCCACTTAAGTTAATTCTAGAAGTTTGAGCCTTAAAATTTTCATTATTTTTTTTGAGAAGCCTAATTTTGAGAAGCTGAAGTGACCACTTAAGAAGAAGATAGGTCTTTGAGCCTTTGAATTCTCATTAAATTTAGTTGAAAGCCTGAAATTTCGAAATCTCCTGACTCCCTGATGAAGTTTGTCTATTCTAAAGTCGATGATCCGTCCAAAAAATCACTTGAGGGGTCACTTGAAACATAAAACAAGAAAATAATAATATAGGAATACAAAAAAATATGAGAAGCCCCTTCAGGCGCAGATTTTCTGTGCTTTTCACTTACCTCTCAAAAATCAAATTTGTATTTTTGTGATTTTTATTGAACATGTATGGTCATTTTCCTATCGGGATTTTTAAGCTTCATTTTTTTTTTGACACTATCACTTCAATTTTACATATTGACAGGTAAAAGTGATAATGGAAGAAGCCGTGACTCGTCGAAACCTCGACCTCAACTCACCCTACGTCACTTCGCTCTGCGGTTCGTCTTTCCTAATAGCCGGCTTCTCCATTTTTTCCTTCTCTCTTCTTTTTTTTTCTTCTTCATAATTTGCCCCGACGCGGAACTTAACGCTCCGGATTATGTAATTATGGAGGAATGGAGTGGAAAAAAAAAGAAAAGAAAGAAAAAAGGGATCATTCAGGGCATTTGCCTTGGAAAGGTCGAGGTTTTGGGGGACAATGAGAGAAGGTTTTTTTAGGTTGGGAGATTGATATTTTATAGGAATTTGAACAATTTTTTTCTGGAAGAAAAAGGTTACAAAAATTGACTAGTTTAGGGCTTTTTTGTTAGGATACTGTGCTCTATTGATATTTTCTGATGTTTTCGAAATTCAAACGTTTTTTCCCTGGAAAAAAAATTGACTAAAAAAGCTTGAGGCCGTTTTGATTTTGGAGATAGTGTTCTATTGATAAATTTGATAATGATTTATTGGAGTTGAAAAAACGAAAAATAATAAATCCTTATAGCTTGATGCTATTTTAGAGGAGTAAGCTGCGTTCAAGTGATAAAATTGGTGTATTTTCTCATTTTATATCTAACTTACGAACGATTTTCAAAAGTTAGACAAAGTGTTTTTTCGAATTAACTATATTGTACTAGTAGAAAATTTTGAAATTAGTTTGCTCTTAATTTCTTTATTTGATGACTTTTTATAGCTCTTTTACTGTAGACTTTTTTTCGGTCAGACTATTTTTTCATATGAATCATCTCAAGAGGCTGTTATTAGGATTGTAAATGCGCTCCCAAGACAATTTAACTTTTAAGTATGAGTCATATATTTTCGGTTGAAAAATACCTTGATATATTAGAAACCGCTTGAGGGAACATTTTTGAAAGTATCAAGAATTTTTGAGCTTTTTTTGTGTTTTTCCCAACTGGATCTTTGTGTTCAGTGTATTAGCCGACGCTCGAACGGCTTCTAGGTGGCCTCGAGACCGGAAATTGTCGTTTCCTGACTGTTCAACGAGTAAAAAAAAGAAGAACAAGACTAGAAAGGAGCAAAATGCTGTTAGAATTGTGAAGATGTAGATTTTGAAGATTTTGAAGAGAAGACTGAATGAAAAGGGAGCTCCCTTTGGCAGGAAGTTGTTCTTTCAAAAGTCGAAAATTGCTTTAAGGGTGTCTTTCCTGAAGAGAAAACTGACAGGTGCGAAAATTGAAAGGGTAAATTTTGTGACTTGGAATAAGCAGAAAAAAAATCTCCGCGCAACCCAAAGAATGATTTTTAAAAAGTGGATATCTTTCTGATCTTATCGCAGACCAGTTTGAAAAATCTTTTTAGTGGCCACTATAGAGGCTCGCCAAGGATTACTTGGAGAAGACACTAAAGTGGCCACTATATTCCGTTTTAGTAGCCACTATAGAGATTCTATATTTACTAGCCACTTCAGTAGTTATTATCCAGTATTCCTTCCAGTAACTCTGATAATTTTAAAAAAGCAGATTGGATCAGTTACGCTGATTTATTGCCCCCCTGAAGTGGCCACTATAATTTTTAGTGGTCTAGTAGTAGCACTTAGACCTTTATAGTGGGCATTAATTTTTAACCCCTTAGGTCGCCGCTAATTTGACTACTATAGTGGCCACTGAAGCGTTTTTTTTAATTTTTCAAAATTTTCCCAGTCCGCCTGCGGTCCCAAAGGTTAATCAGTCTCGATTTTAGCGGCGGTGGACGCCTGTCTGATGGACGGCCTTCGTAGAAGACTCCTCGGCCTTTTCGGATGTCGATCCTCCCTGGCTCTTCTGCATTCTCTCGCCAAACAGAATGCCACCGCCGAGAACGTCCTCAGCAAGACGTTGACCAATAATCAGTGGGTTTTTTTTGGATAAACTCTAACGAAAACTTTTCTTTCGTTAAAGTAAGATATTAGGTAAATAAGTGAGATTGAAACCACAGTCTACAACCATTGAATAAGATCTTTCGTTGTTTATTTTTAATTTCTTACTGAAACGTATCCATTCCAGGAAACACGGCCTGGCCCCCCATTTGGTCTGGATCCGAGAAGCGCTCCACATGAGGGCTCTGTCCACGATTATTCATCATATTAACACGGCTAAAAAGTAAAATTTGGTTTTCTATTGGTCTAAAAACTTTCCTGACAAACGGAATTTGAAAGAAAATTGAGTTTAGGGCGTTCTAGAGAGGGAGAAACTGAACTAAAATCTTTCGCAAATACAGGCTTAGGTTTTAAAGGTCTCACTTCTACACAGATTTGTAGGAACCAAGCGATGCGAAGTTTTTATGTTTGAGATTTTGAGTCGCTTCCAAAAATCATCTAGGTTCGAAAAACTTTTTGAGAAACGCAATTTTTTTGTGACCAGAGGAACAAAAACCCTCAAAAAATAAGTTCGATCTTACCAGGGAATGGTCTCTGGTCGCAGTGGGACCTCTGAATGAGACCATATGTACTAGATGTAGTTTTTCACGCTGATTCCAAATCTGGTCTCAAAAACTGCCGCGGAGGTCTGTGAAAAAAGTTATGGACCCTCAAAAGTCGAAAATCTCATAGTCCCCGATCGAGCTCATTTTTGGAGAGTACTTATACCCTGTCCCTCTGGTCACGAAAAACCTGGTTAGACATTCAAATTTGCGAATTTTGAAGGTCTTAGTGAACCTAGTCTCATTCAGAAGTCCCACGGTGAACTGGGAACATTTTCTGGTTTTTTAATTAGTTTATCCACATCCAAGATGGAAATAACATGTACAAGAAAGGTGAAGGAGGAAAAAAAGTGACATATAAACCTGCAATGAATAAACGAAAAATGATTGAGGACTTCACTGAGCCTTTGAGCCAGTGATTCTGGTTAGAAGTTTTCATTTTTTCAAATTTTCAGCGTCCGACGGTTATATGAGGGACACGCGCTGATGTTGGACAGGGCCAAGGGCGGAATGGTCGCCGCACTTTTGTGTTGGTTTTATCTTCGTTTCGAGCATCTTTTTCGAACTCATTAACTTCTTCTTCTTCTTCTTCTTTTTCTTGTTCTTCTTGTTCTTCTTGTTCTTCTTGTTCTTTTTCTTAAGCCTTTTCGGAAAAAAGCTTCAGCGCCCTAAGTGGATGAGACGAGAATTTATCTATCACTTCGAAAATCATATAGTCCGTTCAGATTTTGAATGTCAAGTAGAATGACGTCATTCGAAAACGCTCTGTGGATGGCTCGCTCTCTGATTGGTTTATCGCGCCATTAAGGGGCGGAGCTTGAGCGAGGACTTGAAGTTCAAAATCTGACGGCACTCCTAGTACGAACTCAAGTTGTCCAGAGGAAAAAAACCGAGACCATTTTGATGTAGTACCTTTTTTGCGACTTGAAAGCACTTCTCTGCGCCCTCCTCATCTCTCGGCGTCTCTCTTATATTGACGTGCTTTTTCCATGTTCTCTGACCTCGTCGGTGAGGGAACAGAGAGACGCAGACACGCGTAAACTGTCAAGCAGCGGACAGACTATAAAATTGGAAAAAAAATCTTAAATTTTTCACACTCGAAATTTTAGCCTTTCGAAGTGCTCTAAGAGTTTGGATGGATATGCGGAAAACTGAAGAAAAATATGGCCAGAAGGCTTTATGAGAAACTAAGGCTTTCAGAAAAATTGCAAGTTATTAAAGAGAGAAAAAAGGCATAAAATGGGCAAAGCGCTGTTGCTTTATCCTTCCACAACCAATTTTTTCGTGTTTCTGATGAATTTCTCAGAGCATCTGAAATTTCTCCGTCAGTGGCTCTAAAAAATCAGCTTAATTTTAGAGATTGATTTTTTCAACTTGGAGGGAGCGTAAGACCTTTCTTGACATCTTTCGAGCCGAAAATCCCAATTCACTTCAAAAGTTACATTCAGTAGCTTACAGTCTGTTCAAAAATACTCAGAAGTCTTGAAAGACCCTGAAGATTACTTTAAACGTCTTTTCGCTTCGAGACCTTCGACCATGCGCCTTTAAAAGTATCAATTTTCGAACAGACAATTCTGTCATTAAGGAGATTTTCCCTCTTCCTGAAAGCATAGAATTTTGGTGAAGCTCTCGGAACAATTTTTGAAAGCTCTCGTGGACAAATCCGTTATGTGTTCAGTTCATTGGCTCAATCTTGGAGGGGAATTCCAAGTTTGAAGAGAGCGGAGCTGTCTCAATGCCAGCAAAGGAAATGAGCCAGTGAGACAGGGCTGAGCTCTCGAAATTCTTCATTAATTCTGCACACGGAATCCAGCTTTCCGTGTCCCGCTTCACAGAGTGTGAGAGTGTGTCGTGGGCTCTCCACGTCAAGCTCTCCTTATTTATCGATCTCGCCGTTTTTTTTTCTACTCCCCCCGGCTTCCGTCATTTTTTATGTTTCAAAGAGATTTATCTCTTTTTTCTATTGGCTTCCAGTTATTTAATTTTCGCCGATGTTTGAGCTTTGCGTGACTTTTTTTTTAGCACCTGGAGAGGTCTTTATTGGAGCTCTTTGAGGTTGAAATGCTTTTTTCCTTTTAATGAATAATCACGAAATTCCGCTTTTTTTGACATTCAATAATATTTTTAAGCTTCAGAGGTCCCTTTAAGATTTTAAGATACTTCAAAAGGTCACTAGCAAATAGAATTATTATTTTTGAAGGCTGTAGATTTTTCTCAGGGACAAAGTGATACTTGAAAACTTAATTTTCGGAAAATAGGTCAAGAAACACATTTTCCACATATTTTGCGCTTTTTGATGCCTGATTTCTGTGTCTTGATACTACTATGGCATTGAATTCCCATTTTCTCTCCTTTAGTCGTCAAATTTCATTCATTTCCGTCTAATCTTACCTCGGGAATGACTCTGAATCGGAACTTTTATTTTTTTTTTATTGGCATGTATTTTATTTCTGAGGCTAGAAGAATCCTTGAAGTACGGATAGAAACCTTAGAACGCAAGATGGCTTCTCGTGAAACCTTTGAGTCAAAAAATAAAAAGTATGAGCATTCAGAATGAAGGTTTTCAACGAAAATTTTGAGTTTTCGAGTGTAAATGAGAAATTTTGGGATTTGCGTAAAATAAAGTGTGTTTGTGTAGTCAAAGGTGTAGTGTGTCTGCGGAATTTACTTTTACGGCGCACAAAAATTTATCAATCGGATTTTTTGTGTTTTTTATGGTTTTTATTTTTTTCGTATATATCAGTTTTTTTCGAGATCTTCATGAAATAGTTTTGATTTTTAATTTTTGAAAATAAAAAAATTTTTATTTGTTAGCTCTAGAAAGTTTCTAAAAAAAGGTTTTTTTGAAGAATTCATTGTTTTTTTGATATTTCCATAAAAAAAGGTACCTTAAAGGTTTATGGTTTATTTTTTTATTTTTTTAACAAATTTCTTCAGTTTTTTGAATATTTCATAAGATCTTGAAGAAAAAAAGATATTTTAATGGTTGATTTTTGATTTTTAACAAATCGCTTCGGTTTTTTTTTTCTCATTTGATTAATGATAATTTGTTTGTTGTTGAAGTTACTCATCTTTTTCTCAGTAAAACCGAGTAAATTGGATTAAAAGTGCTTTTTCCAATGCACTTTTCGCTTTGTTTCTTGATGTTTGGCGCAAAAAAGGGCGGATATCTCTTTATTTTTGCAAAGAGCCTGCAAATGGCTCATTCTCATGAGGCTCTTCAGTCTTTCCTCTGTTTTTTTTTGTTCTTTTTTGACGAGTGAATGAAAACTGAAGTTTCCGGCTTGAAATCGGATTCTTGTACTTTAGAAACCTTTTTTCAAACAGTAGAAAAAAATAATGAAACATTTTGATGCCTGAGATCGTTTTTAAAAGCGTCAAAATGAGGGCTTTCTATACTGTGTGACATAAATATGCGCATTTTTTGTCTTCTCTTCATCGATGAGGCTTGCAAGCTTCTCCCCAGTCCATTCAAAGGCCTCTCCATCATCGGAATTCCCTAATTGACGGCCCAATTAGATGCCCTGCAGACATTGGACCCGACATTCTCCACAAAATGCACTTTTTCTGGATGCAAGAAAATCTTTTTTATGCATTTTGAGGATCATAGATTAACTTGATTCTTTAAAAAAAAGTGTTGCAGTGAATTGGATTAGTGGATGACGTCATTTTTCTATAATAGGATATCCTGGGTAAGCTTTTTTATGTCATGTAGGTTTACGTCAATACTAGAAAGTTTCTATTTTTTTTTACCTCTCGATTTTTCCCTTGATTATGCGAAAAAAAAATAATTCAAACCTCTGAAAAGTTACATTTTCTCATATTTATACCCTTATTTGTACCTTCATTTGCACAATAAGAAAAACTAATACTCTGGCATAAATTTACAATTTTCTACCTTCTTCTAACTTATTATTCCTTATATTTTTTGAGGCGTGGCTTTTCATTCTAGAGGCTTCCATGAACCACTGATCTCTTGCACTTTCAAAGCGTCGTTCTCCAACAATTCATCTTTCTTTCTGCTCTGAAGTTTGGAGGAATTGAGGACGAAAAGCCTTTTTTTTTTTCGAAACTGAGTGAATAATTCAAAAAACTCTCGGCGGTTTGCAGTGGGTCCATGCGCGGTGACGTTCAAACGGATGTCTGAGGCGTGCACGGCGGCCGAGACGACGGCCGAAGACCTCGTCGAACGCGGCGGACGTCCCCCAGCCTCTCCCAAACCGGCCCGACCTCCTCTGACGGTAAGGGGGCGGTTACTGTAGAAAAAAGGATATTTTTGGCATTCTTACCATTGAGAGGTCCCACTGCGACCAGAGACCATTCCCTGGTTCTTATGAGGAAGTTTGATCCCTTTTTTGGCATCCATGGCCTAGTAGTGAGCTAAATTACTCCGAGAAGAGAGTTTGACTTGAAAAGTAATCGAAAAATGGGTTATAAAAATAGAGTTTGAGTCCAGGAGGTATGATCAACGGAAATGGGATTAAGCTTCAATTTTAAGAGATAAGAATGATTTTAACTTAGGAAGACTAGGGAGGAGGCCTCTTCCAAACCGGCCCGAACCTTTTTACCGTTTGAAGACTTCTTCTTCCGGGAAAGAGTTACTGCGTAGCTACTTGAAAAGTTTCAAGTCATTTGCGAAGTTTCAAGTCATTTGAGCCACTTTCAGAGAAGTTATGCTCGAATAATTATTTTGAAATACCTTCATTGACAGTACTGTATTTCTCGAAAACTAGAAGGTTTTTCGGGTTGAGGCTTTCGGAATCTTCTACTGGGAGTTTTCTGGCTGATTTTGAATCTCAACCGCAAAGTAGACGACCTTCCTTGTCAGGACGACTAGAGAGAAGGATTTGAGAATGTTTAAAAAGGTGTGTCTATAGACTGAAGTGTATGAAGTACTGAAAATGAACTTTACCCGTCTTTTTCAACAATGTCACTCCTGAAAGTAGGAACTTCCAACCGTAAGACAGTAAGAAAAAAAAAAGAAAATTTCCCCCATCAAGGAATTTATCTTCTTCAGATAACCCGGCAAGGAAGTAGTATTGTATCTTCTGTTGACCGTGGCTCTGTTAGCCGAGATTACGTTTATTCCCTACATCACAACTTCAAATCAAGCCTGCTCTACGGAAAGAACAATGTCGCCGTGGCGGTCAATGGTGGCAAGGAATCTGTCAAAGGTAAACTTTTCCATTTTTTGCTCGAAAGGCGTGAAATTTTGTAGTGCGGCAATTATGTAGCCTAATATGTCGGGAACTTTGAATATAATGTCTTCAATTGATATTTCGGAACCTGAGACTTCAGTTCGATAGGATAAGATTGTTCTAAACTTCAACTTTTCGTTTTTCTACGTTTTCGAGCTGTAAGGATAGTTTTAGCCTGAAATTTTTCGTTGTTCCTTGAAAAATTAAAATTCATAACTTCTTTTTAATTTTGTGCGTCTTAAATAAATAGCCCCTCTCAGGATTTTTTCGGTCCAAAATTCAATAAAAAAAAATAGAAATAAGTCCAAAAGTGCAAACTTTAGGTGCTCCAGTGATAATCGGCGTATTTTTTTAATCAATCAGACTTTTTTGAGCTTTTGAAGCTGAATTTTTTTAAGATTTTTTTAGTTCCTGTGATGATGTTTTTGTTTTTTATAATACACAAGAAGCGGCACGCTTTTTCAGTTTTTTTTTTTCCCTTAGCTTGAAATTTGCATTTTTATTTCCTTTGAATGACCGCTTGCAGAACGCCTTATACTTGTAAGCGTTCAGATTTAGGCTACCTGTCGCTGCACAAGAACGTCGACGGAAATCTTACCCTCAAATGGACGCCGAATCAACTTATGCATGCAAGGTTTGTATTAGATTCTCGTTTTTTTCCATTAAATATTTTTTTGAAAAATTAGCAGTTTGATGAGAAATACTCAGAGCTCAAAGACCGCCAAAAAAACTTGGCTAACCAGCGCTATTTTTTTAGGGGGAGGGGGAATTCGAAATCGAGGATTGTTTCAAAGGATTGGTTAGAGATTGAAGGAATCGCATGGGCTAGAAAATTTGAAAATAAACGGTTGAAAATTAACTTACGGCGCGCCTTGGGGGTGCGCGCTTTTATGCTTCCCCCTAACTTTTTGGAATGGTTTTTTCGCGCGCCAAAGTTGGATTTTGATCCAGTTCACGTCTGCCTCGGAGTATTTAGTTAAATAATTCCATAATTTTCAGCTCCCAGCCCTCGTCGGCTCACTCCAAAGACGGAGAATTTGCTGGTTTATGGCGCCACGCCATTCACATTGAATTACAGGACATTATTTACATCCACCTTCATCAGAGAGGTTCGAAAATGCATTGTGATGCTTCTCGTAGAAGATTAATTAATGAAAAATTGGTTTCTAATGAGAAAAACAAAAGTGACGTGGAGAAGACGTTTATGGATTTATTTCATTGTTTGTTTATTACGTGAAATGGATATTTTTGAAATATTGAACTCCTTGAGAGAAAGTTGTGATCAAAAACGTAGTTTTTCCTATCTCTTCTGACCTCGCTGTATCTTGAAAAATGAAAAAGTCTCTATAGAATATGTTCCAGACGAGAACTCGCCGGCGTGCCTGACCTTTGTCAACTGTGAAGGTGTTCAGTCAGCCCCCCTCCAACTCCCCGCCGGACAGCATTCGTTGGCCTTCCTGACGTCCTTGGAGACTGGTCTCGCGCCCTTACTCCGCCTAGATCCACCTCTCTGGACTGGACAGTCCAAAGGTCTAGTAGAAACATCTTGCAAACTGATAAGGGAACTTTTTTTTAGTACAGAACTTACAGGATCTGAAAAACTCTATCTTTTGAAAATATAAACTCTCAGGACCTAAAATATCCAGAAATAATTATAGTTTTAACTTCTGTATAGCCATTTCGCAGCTTCTGAGAAAAACGAAGCTTTGAAAAAAAAAAATGAAAACTGAAACGATTCGAAAATAACTTTAGGAAGTTCCTTTTTTATTTATTTAAAAAGAATCTCTGTTTTCAGCTGAATCCTGCTCGAATTTTGAGCCGAACACGTGCTTTATCACTTGCCTCCTTCGGAATTAAAGACTTCAGTCATTTTTTAAGATTTCTGTGAAATATGAGATTTAAAATATTGTTTTTGGGCCGTTGTTTTTGGGAAGATTGGTTGGATTTGACGTGATGTTCACCTGTAAGCTGTATGACGTTTTGCCGGAATTCTATTGAAAAAGACGGGGAAAAGCTTGAAAAATTGAGCTTTTGTGAGAAAATGGTCACGCCAGGTGTCCCATCGTATCATCTGAAATAAAGAGATTTCGATGAAATATTATTCCAGGTTTTTAGAGCGATCGATTTTCTGGATCTAAAGCGCAAAGTTTTGACATCTTTGAACATTAACATTCTCATGGACCGTTTTCCCAATATGTTCTACCAAGTAAAATGTCCCCTTTTCCAGAAAAGATCCTGCCGCGTTTGAGGAAACGATCTACCGCTCAAGGATCACCGCCAATGATGATGGACTACGTTTTCCGGCTCGTCAGAACTTCTGGCCTCGAACCGGCGCCCGAAGACGACGAACCCGACTCCAATGCCCCTTCGCCCATTCCCCCGATTCACGATAATTGGTTCATAATTTTTCTGATTTTTTTTGGACATTTGTCAACTTATAGCTTGAATAAAGTTTCTTTTCAGCGTCTCCCTGCCCAACTCGCCGTACTTCACCGACAACGTCGACAACCTTGTGAAGCGAGTTTCAGAATATATTTTTCGGAAAATAATGGTCGATGGAGCATCTTTCTTTTTCGAGATTTCTGATTTTTTGAATAGCTTGATCTAGATCGACACTTTTCTAATGAAAAATTTGATATTCCGGGGTAGAAAATAAGATTTTGAAAAGAGATTTTTTGTTCTTCCCGTTTTGTAGAAGCATTAGGTAAAAGATATTGAAAATTAAGTTTTTTGAGTGAATTTTTCTGAGTAGGATAGGTTTTTTTTTTGGTTTTCCTGATAAAAAGTAGGTTTTCTAGAGTTTTTTTAATACTTTTTTTATCAGCTCTGAGTTCATTGAACCTATTAAAAAACTTTGTTAGAGTTCAATCCGATTTTTTTTTTGACTCAAAAAGTTTTTCACAGATGCTCTCTTCACTTTGGATCACTAAGAAAAGAAAATTTCATACGTTTTCTTCAATTTTTCTAATCGATTAAAGAATATTTTCCAGCTTACAAATCGGCAAGGCGTGCCAATCGATGCAGCACCAGATCCTCGCCAGGGCTTTTTATGGATGTTCGTTTTCGATTTATTTTAAAAATAGCTCCTCTTCCAAATCGAATATTCAAGCCACGTGAACCATTTGCGCGCTCCACTTCATTACCGTCGAATGCCAGGAAAGAAAAAGCCATAATTGTCGAATATTCTAGAGCTTTCACACGGCTGGGTCACGCCTATTCCCTCCGTAGACCACGCCTCTTTTTCTTTTTTTTGCGCCACCAATTCGATTCGTGTGCCGCGTTTTATCGCATTTTTTTGGGCGCTTTACCGCGAGAAAAATTGACTTTTCATGGATTTTCTTTGGGAGAGTTTCGGTCGTTTTCCTGCCTTTTTTGGTTTTCTTTTTCAAAATATTTTCCGGTCAAAAAAAGCTTGATATGTTCAAGTAAAGGGAATTTTTGAAAATTTGGAGCTTTCTGGAGATTTTTCTAAATATGTAGGTCGGGAAGTTTCAATAAAGATCATTTTTTCGCTTTTCAAAACCTTTTTTCACGACTTCCTTGGCAAATATTGAGCGCAGAATGTGATTTGAATTGAAAATAGGTTCCTAAAAAGGAAGGTCCACTTGGCGGTTGAGCATTCTCTGAAAATTGACCAGAACACTTATTTAAGTACCAGATAAAGGTCTCAACTTGCATAACTACTTAGTTTTTGGGAAAGACCACCTCGAAGTCAAAGAAACCCCTGAAAATCCGCTGAAATAGGCTTTGAGCCCTTATTTTTCAAAAACTAGAGTTGTGACTCCGAGAATCTTCTTCTGGTACCTCCAGAAGTGTTCTGACCAACTTTCAGGAAATTCTCAACCACAAAGTAAAACTACCTTTTTTGTAAAAGTTAGAAGAAAAATACTTCAATTTATTTGACCGATGAAGTTTTTTCCTCAGTTTGAAACTCTTTATTTTCCAAAAATGGAGTCCTATCCTTGCAGGGCTCACCTACGTGAGACACCTTCGAACTGTCCGAAAGCACCTGCTTCACCTGGTCAACACGGAGAACGCGATGAAACACGACGACGAGGCGTTGCCGGTGGACGAGGCGTTCTGGAAAAAGTGCCGGACTGAGACCACTGTTCGTAGTTTTTTCGAGTCTTTGATGTTTTATATGTTCCACGTGATTGGACTTCCCTGTGTTTCTAAGTACCTTTTTGAAGTATCTTGAGCCTCTTAGGAGCTCCAGAGTGGTCCCTATAGGGGCAACTTTAGAAGCGCTTGGAGGGCCCCTCTAGGGACCACTTTACCAACACTTATAGGAATCACTTAAGCTTCCAAAGTAGTCCCTATAGGAGACCTTCTAGTCGATAATTCTTAGGAACTCTAAGCGAAGAAGCATTTCCATGGGAAAAAACGGAATGAAGAAGCTTTTTGAATAAAGTTGAAAGACCCCTTTAGGGTCCACTTGAGCTTTAGGGATTAAGGGGTCAGACTCTAAACTCCTATAAGAATCACCTTAATTTTATCCCTATAGGGACCACTTTTTAGGCTCCTATAGAGTTTGCTTTTGCCCCCCACCCCTATAGGGACCATTCTGGAATTCCCAAGGTTTTCATAACTCGAAAAACTTCAGTTGTTCGTTCCAGTATGACAGTAGAATTTAGGAAGAGCTGGAACGAGAATTCCTGCAACGGGTCTACCTTCGTGGCATCGAGGGGAAAAATCCGAAAGAGCTCCGGAGACAGGTAAATCCAATCAAAATTGGGATCCAGAGGTTTTGAAAAGTTTTGAAAAATTTTTTGGATTCCAAGGGACTCGGAGAAAAATGAGAGTTCACTAGAGTGGCTTACTAACAAAAGAACAGATCGTTTGAAAGAAAATTCAGATGTTTTTTTCAAAGTTTTCAATTTTTGAGAACGGCAGTGGCATTGAGCTATCACTACAGGATGAGTAAATCTTTCGACCCCTTAAGTGATCACTTTCAGTACGCCTAAAGGCTACAAAATTGGATTTCAACGGGCTGTGACTCCTGTGCCTGAGAAGAAACGTCACTTTTCCAAAAAATCGATAAACTACTTCAGTGGTCACTGGAAAACCGCGCTTATTTGATCTTTTTAGGATCTTGAACCCTCTAGTAGCCACTTGGTTCCTCCTTCAAGAATGTCTTAGTTATCATCTTTGAAATAACTTTGAAGAGCTCTCAGAATATTTTTCTATTCAGGCGTGGCCATACCTGCTCGGACTCTACGCCTGGACCGAGGCTCCCGAGCCGAAAACGAGCGAATTCACGGCGAAATACCGTGAAGAGGTCGACGAATGGCGGATTCTGGAGGCGGAAGTCAGACGTCGCGACGAGGAAGCTTTCATCGCCGGTTCATCTCTCTCTTTTTTTGGGCAAAAAAATCCTTCTATGGAATGAGATATGGCGCCGTGGGCGCTTTTCATTACCTTGGGCTTAAATTTTGGGTTCCTGGTTGGGACACCGGAGAATTTCAGAGTAGGAAATGGAGAGTATGCTGATATACCTGATGAATATTTTTACCGGGTAAATTTTTAGTGGCCACTATGGAGGCTCGCCAAGGACTACTTGGAGAGGACACTGAAGTGAGCACTAAACCCACCTCTATAGTGGCCACTATTTTCCGTTTTAGGGGCCACTTCAGTAGTTTTTCATCCAATACTCCTTCCAGCAACTCTGATAATTTTAAAACAAACAGAGTGGACCAGTTATGTTGATCCATGGACCCCTAAAGTGGCACTGAAATTTTTAGTGGTCACTTTAGGGGTCAATTATTTTTAATTTTTAACCAATAATTTTAAACATCTTCAGTTGCCACTAATTTGACTAATAGTGGCCACTAAAAAATTTTCTCAGTATAGGAAGCATTTTTTTGATTTTTTTAGAGATGAAAAATGAAAAAAATCTTGTTCAAAAATGCAAGATTCTCATGAGGATCTGAAATTAATTTTTTTGACTTTTATGACTTTTTTTTCTTGGAAATCGAGGTATGAAAAAAAAATTTTTAGAGCTCATTCCATCAAAAGAACGGAAAATTCACACAGAAACACGCTGAAAGTTTTTTTGAACGAGTAAGAAAGTTTTTGTTTTGTGATTTTTTCATTTGAAATTTTCATAGTTCACACAATTCTACGATTTTTGGACCCACTTAAGAGACAACTTGAGCTCTATCAAGCGCTTTGAACTCACTATTAGAATTTAGAAAATTCATCAATTTCAACTCAAATGGCAAAAAAAAACATTTTCAGCCCGACAAAAACGAGGATCGCCCACACGCGAGTGCTCCGTCATGAGCGACGTTTTCGAAGACCCGGAGGTCTCTTTTCTTTTCCATTTATTGTGTTTGTCCCAATTTCCTTTGACACTAATCCAATTTATTCATAAATGAATGAATAGGAAGCGACGTGTTCCTCGGAGTGGCTCGTAACTCAATTCGCGACGAACCTTCATCGGATCGACAAGGACGTCGAAAGATGCGACCGCAACTTGATCTTCTTCTCCAACAAGGACAACTTGGAGAGCTTGAGGTGGGGAGATGAGGAGACAGTTGGAGAAAATCGAAAATTAGCCTTTTTTTTAATTGACAGGTACATTCATGCTTTCTTAGGAACTTCAGAGGGGTCCCTATAGGGGGAACCTTGCGCCCTTGGAGGGTCCCCTGAGGGACCACTCCACCAAACCCTATAGGGGCCTGTAAACTTGCGAAAGACCCCTATAGAGTCCACTTGAGCTTTAGGGGCTAAGGGGTCAGACCCTAAACCCCTATAGAGACCACCTTAACTATACCCCTACAGGGACCACTTTCGGCCCCTATGGAGTTTGTTTTCCGCCAACCCCCCCTTCCCCCCATCAACCTTTTTCCGTTATAACGATCTAATTATACCTGAAATAACACATTTATTTGGAAAAAAAACCGTAGCAACGTTCAAAATAACTTTTCAGCTCGAAAAAAACTTGCAGTTAGCAAATTTCAGAAGAGTTATGTGCACGTATGTCCGCCGCAACCTCGAAGAAGGCTACATCCAAGGAATGTGTGACCTTTTGGCCCCACTCCTGGTCATTTTCGAAGATGGTTTGGAAGCTCCCTGAAACAAACTCTCAGCTTCAACAGTTGTAGAAGCTTTAACATTGGAATGCTTCACGATTCTGATGGGACGGTTGAGGGAAAACTTCCCGCAACGCTCTGGAATGGACCAGTGTCTGTCGAACTTGCGCTCCCTGATCCAGGTCAATTTATTGATTATGTAACCCCCTAAATGTCATGTTTCCAGGTCGTCGACCCGCAGATCTTCACACTATTGACGGGAACCGGCGATTTCACTCACCTGTACTTCAGTTATCGATGGTTCCTGTTGGATTTCAAGCGGGGTGAGGAAATATGAATGTTTCAGGAATTTTAAAAAAAAAATGGAAAAATTCATTATGAAAGGTTTAGAGAAACCTTAAAACTTGTCTGTTCAGCATTGATTTCTGGTGCGAAGGCGCGTTTTTCATCGAAACTGCCCCTAATTACTCCAAAAGGGCTCTTCACTGTGAGACCTCCATGATTCCTATTCATGCGCCTTTAAAAAAAACATGAAACATAAGAAATAAGAACATTTCCTCGGTTTCAATTGATTTCCATCACTTCTCACGCCGTTTTTTTGAAGACGCCCCGCCCATATTTTTCCCGTAAAATGTAGTGTATCGTCTGCATGCACCGCGGCGCTCGCGCACATACCACGTTCAAATCGATTTTTCGCGAAATTTAAAAAAATCATATCAAAATTTCTGAAATTCAGTTATATTTTTTTCACTCTCTGATGGCTATTTCGAATTTCGCGAAATTACTCTCAACACGGTATTTGTTTTTTTAAAAATGAAACAGGAAAATCGCGTTTTTTTGAAGGAGAAATATATTCGTCTCATGACCCGTTGATGCGCCTTTAATATTTTTCTGTTGCTTACGCGTTTTTTTCCCCTGACGTCAACTAACAAAAAAACACCGTTTTCTGGGCAGAAAAAGAAAAATTTCATAAAATTCAGGAAAAAAAGGCTTTTTCCACCTAACAATTTCAAAATAAATATCTTTTTAAAAAAATCATATCAAAATTTCTGAAATTCAGTTATATTTTTTTCACTCTCTGATGGCTATTTCGAATTTCGCGGAATTACTTTCAACACGTTTTTTTAAAAAAATGAAACAGAAAAAAATCGCGTTTTTTTGAAGGAGAAATATATTCGTCTCATGACCCATTGTTGCGCCTTTAATATTCTCTGTTGCTTACGCCTTTTTTTCCCCTGACGTCAACTAACAAAAACACCGTTTTCTGGGCAGAAAAAGAAAATTTCATAAAATTCAGGAAAAAAAGGCTTTTTCCACCTAACAATTTCAAAATAAATATCTATTTTTTTCCTAGAATTGTCGTACGAGTGCACCTACAAAGTGTGGGAGACGATCTGGGCGGCCGGAAGAACTGTCAGCCCACAATTCGCCTTGTTCTTCGCCCTGGCAATGGTCACCAACTACCGAGACGTCATCGTCGACAACAACATGGACTTTACCGACATGATCAAATTCTTCAATGGTTTGTTTCTGGGGTGAACTTATGAACTTTAAAACAATTTTTCAATAGGAAAACCCCGAATTTTCTGATAGTATGTTGTTGTGCGTCAAAGTGTACACTAGCAAACAATTTTTACGCGCATTTTTTTGATGGTACGACAAAATCTCAAGTCCGCAAATCTCGAGGACCGTAATCTTGTGTACGCAGATCTAAAGTCCCATAATCTTGGAAACCACAATCTTGGAAAGCAAAAATCAACGCTTTTGCGAACAGATTTTTTCAGAAATTGTATTCGGTGATCCAAACAAGAGAATATAAGTAGATAAAGTGCAATAAAGAAGACTAAAAGGGAAGATTTTTGCTTTCCAAGATTGTGGTTTCCAAGATTTTGGCCTCCAAGATTTTGGTTTCCAAGATTATGGGACTTTAGATCTGCGTACACAAGATTACGGTCCTCGAGATTTGCGGACTTGAGATTTTGTCGTACCATCATTTTTTTCAGACGGAAGTTTTTTTATATCTATTTTTTTAAACTGATTCCATTTGTTGTTCAAAGCTAATTATCAAATCAATACCTCGAAATTTGAAGAAATGGCCGAACGACATGACTGCGCGAGACTTCTACAAGCGGCCAGGAACCACGTCTGGTGCCTCCAAAATTTGGTTCAACAACTGCGATAATTTCTTTCATTTTTTTTTCAATTCTCGTAGTTATAGTTCTGAAGAACGCTAACGATATTTATCTGCTTGCAAATTTCATCATGTATTCTTTTTTTTTTCATGGTTCCCAAATAACCATGTTTTTCTTTCGGATGGTCTTTTTCTTGTTAATTTCTTCCATGTTCTCATTTTCAGTGTATCAAATTTGGCTGCAAGGTTTTTTAGTTTCATTTTTCGCTAGATTTTTTTTATTTCCTCGTCCAAAATAATAGAAAAAATTAATCGTGTTTTACTTACATATTTTGTGCTAACAAATACGTGGTCCTTCCGATTAATTTTACGTTGTCCAGAGAAGAGTATATTAATAATTATCTTTATCTATCATCGAATTACAATTTTGTTTGAATAAATTTTTTTATTATTGTTTCTGTGATTCTTTTTGTCGTTAAAAGCTTCGATTCACTCGTATTGTTAATGAAAAAAATGTTGTTTTTCAGGGTGTTCTATTCGAGTCAACATTGTTTGAGACTCTTAGGAAGGTTTTATGTTTTTTTTTTCAAGTAATGATGGGTAAAAAAAAGTCTAGATTATGGAGATAATTTTATATTAAGAACAAAAGAAACAGAGAGAAATTGCAGTGAGAACAGACTCGTTGTCTTGAATTTTGACCCCACCAATTTTTTGACCCTTTGGCGGCCCAGAAGGGTTTTGTCATCATTTGCTCGATGTTCTAGAAGGTCGACGTTCATCGATTGGTTTTCTACACGTTTTTAAGGTTATTTTCTTTGTAAATTTATTTTTATCGATCATGTCAATGTATTTATTAAGCTAAATATTATGATTCAAAGAAATTTCATTGGAAAACTTCATTTTTTTGGTGTATTTTTCGATCAAAATGAGCTTCAGAAGGATGTTCTCGTAACTGTTTTATCTATTTTATCTTTTTACGGTAATACTTGCTGTTTTCTTTCAAGGAGACGGGAAAATTGCTAAGCTTGTCGGAGTTATATATGAGCTGTTTTATGTGTTTTTCAGTCATTAACTCCTGCAGCTGGAAATGCAAAACAAGGTTTTGAAAACTAGAAAATAGTTTATAAGTTATATCAAGATTCGTTTGAAGTTCTTTCTGTGTATCACTTCTCAAAAAAACTTTTTTCAACGAGTTATTCTCTTATTTTTATTGAAAACGATAGAACTGACACAAAACCCCCCTCAAACAAAGTAATTTGAATAAATTTGAAAAAGTTTTCGGAAGCATGATTTAGGAGTTTTTGCTGTGTGTCGCCTCACTACTTGATTTTTCTTTCGAAGGTTGTGACTCGTTTAAAGTGATTTCGTGGTATATAATTTGAAAACGTGATTTTTTTTTTTGGTTGATTCTAGGTAATTAAAATCAGTTTTCAGACGGATCATGCTGTAGCTCTACGACGAGAAGCCGAAGATGCTTCTAGGACGTGTCGGATGGAAGATCTACAACGAGGACAGAAGGACCTCTTCGCCAAAGACGCTGATTGAAGCGCAACTACCGGCCGATCGGAATCGACTCTTCAGTTCAACTCCAGTTGTTGGTTTTTACTCGAAGGTTGTGCCTTGTTCAGAGTGATTTCGTGGTTTCTACTCGGCAAACTTGTGAAATAGCGATGTTTTGCAAGCATAGTCGAGTGAAAATCGCAGAGTCACTCTGAACGAGGCATCACTTCGAGGCAAAACTTGTAGTTACTTCAAAAAAAGTAAGTGTTCGGGGTGTACGAGCCCCTTTGCCACCAACGAACATAAATTCTTGAAGAAGCGCGCCAGGAAACGGACGCCACCAGATCGATCGTTGGTGACGTCCACACCCGGCGCTGTACTCCAAGAGTCTCTGCAAGTTGGGAGGCAAATGCTTGGCTGGGATTCGAACCCGAGTCTCCAGATCGAGGGACGAGTTGCCTCGCCACTCTACCAAGCCCGCACGTTCGTTCCACAGGCATCGGCGCCACATACCGCCGCTGGTCCCGTGTGTTTGCTTGGGCCGAGAGGCAGAGGCGCCGTTTGATCTCCTGCCCGACTCTAGTTTGGACACGGCGCCAAAACATTGCATCATCCTTCCATCGCCTTCCATGGCCTTCTGGAACTTCTTTTTGCGTCATTCTCTTTTACTTTCGATACTTCTTACATTTTTCAATAATATTTGCTTATTTAGTTTGATGATTTAATGTTAAGAATAGTAGAACCTTTATATTAAGCTTCTAACCAGTAGTTCTCATATTTTAAAGCTTAGGACTTCACTAAGAGCTCATTTCACTATGAATTGATAGATTTAAAACAAATTTTCAAAGATGCGTGTTACGGTATGTGAGTCCGCATTCAACAAATCTCACCGTGCTTGGAAAGAAGCATCGCAATTGACGACACTTTTTGTTTCTAACATCTACTAAAAATCTTCTTTGATTCTTGTCGCTGATTTGAATTATCTTTGAGAATTTAAGTATTCTTAAACTTTCTTTGCAGAACATTTAAGTTGTCAGAAACGAATGGTCATTGGAAAGGATATTGTAGTCGAATATTCGAAGCTATTGTTGTTGGTATCATTCGTTTCTGTTATCTTGCGAAGTCGTTTCCTCTTACTGACTCTCAGGAAAGTATAGAAGAGCTCATGTCGTTTTAAGTTTTAAATCAGTGATTGATTTTCAGGGACTAACTTCTTCTAGAAGAGACCAGGAATTGGCGTTGGATCTCAGAATCGGTTGACAGCTTGCGGAAAATTCCTCACTTGAAAGTTTGCTTCAATGCCTAGTTCTGTTTTGACAAAGAAAGTAAAGGTGATTATGTTTTTAATGTTTAATGAGTGTGGAATTTTCCAGGGACTCCGCCGACTTTTCCGCCAGAACTGGGCAGATGTGTCAGAAACGGTTTGTCGAAGTTGTGAAGCGGTTTTTTTGGTTTCTGACAGTTTTGCCCAGTTCTGGTCGCTCAAGGACTTCGATAAATAACGATGAGTTCATTCTTCTTGGAAAAAACGTTTTAATTTAGGACATGTAAAGCGCGGTCGCGCTGCTGTTCTACACATCCTTGTTTCCTAAAGTTTTTTTCTTTTAGTACGAACATTACATAGTGATGAGCTCAGCGCGGCCGCGTCGCAGGCCCTGATTTGTTTCTTCGATATGGGCTGAGGTATTCTTGATGCACTCTAATTTTTTATCGATTGATGATGTAAATTCTCTAGGAACACGTGCAAAGCTTTCTAATTTTCCTGTATTTCTTAACTGCGAGCTTCATTTGCCAGTGGATGAGCTTTACTGACACTCGTCAGTAAGTGTGAGGTTGATCCTTCGCGGAAGAGAGTTCTCGCGTCACTTGGAGCATTGTGAGCCAAGTGGCACTTTGGTTCAACCGAAGGAGACTGGCGCAATTGTCCCAATCTTCCGTGCTCCTATACCCACTAGCTTGAGGTCTCAACTGCTCTGAAATTACAGGAGAACAGACTTTTGCACGACTTTTCTTATTTGTTTCTTGATTCTTTGTCGTTTCTCAGCCTCATTTTTTAAAAGTATGAGCTTCACTGGCTTTGATCAGTATGAAGAAAGGGGGCATCTAGCCGCTCATCAACTCTTCCGAGTGGAGCCTGACTTCGGTCACCCTTTCCGGAAGAGAGTTCTCAGCCACTTGTGGCAACTTGGTCTAACCAAGGAGACTGGCGAACTTTTCCCAATCTTCCGGGCTCGATACATCCATATATGACTCGAACTTCTGACAAATTATTTATAAGCATTACTTGTGCATCAAACAGTATCTCGGCCCAGTTGTAGAACTTCTTGTTTCTTGTGACACAGAAGACTTCAGTTGAATAAAAGTATTTATTGATAAAAGAACATGATCAAGTTGAAGGAAGATTTCTGAAGTTGTGTGATTGAAGTTGCATCATTATCAATTTAATTTTTCTGCACTGAATCAATAAATGGTTTTTCATTTTCACAAAGCAATTACAACACAAATGGCATATCAACAGAAAATGCATTTACTAATATTGCAAGTTTAAATAATGCATTCATTTAATATTGCAAGTTTAATTGGAACTGCAATTTTTTAATATTGCGAATATAGAAATTGCAAGTATAAATAATGCATTTATTAATATTGCAAGAATAATAAAATTGCAAGTTTGAAAGAATTGCAAGTATAAAGAATGCATTTATTGATATGGCAAATTGAAACATTGCAAGTTTGAATATTGAAATTCCAAAGAATGCAAGTATAAATAACGCATTTATTAAAATTGCAAGAATAATAAAAGCGTATTCTCTTTTTTTTTCCTTTTTTCTAATCTACACTGCTATAAAGCTCTGTATAATAAATGCCAGAAAGGGTGTGGGAGCACGGAAGAGTGGGAAAATGCACCAGTCTCTTTCGGTTAAACCGAATTGCCACTCAGGAGTTCCAAGTGACGTGAGAACTCTCTTCGCTGAGGGATAAACCTCACACTTACTGAAGAGTGTCAGTAAAGCTCACCCACTAAAAATGCGATAAATGAACTCGAACTGTTCATGAAACCCTTTCAACTGTTCGCATATGTTCATTCTATCTGTGATTCTGAGAAGGTTTTACTCTTTTGAAAGTTAAAGCTTTGAGCCCGGAAGATTGGGAAAAGTTCGCCAGTCTCCTTGGTTAGACCAAGTTGCCACGAGTGGCTGAGAACTCTCTTCTGGAAAGGGTGACCGAAGTCAGGCTCCACTCGAAAGAGTATATGAGCGGCTAGTTGCCCCCTTTCTTCACTCTGACCAGTGTCAGTGAAGATAACCCTTTTTGAACCAAAAATGGATCTCGGAAATCACAGGAAAAAAGATCATAGGGAGCAATTTAGTCGCAGTGAATGACTTATCATCAGAGACTAGTCTATTTTTATACAAAAAGATGTGAAGACAAAAGATGTGAATGATAATTGCAATAGAAAAATCAATAAATAGTCAAACGAAAGGGAATGTTTTGTTGAACAAGTTTACTAAAAACTCTGACAGTTCGAAATAAGTCTACTACATTCTTTTTCTAAACAACCACATGAAGAGGGATCTCTCATTCGCTTAGTACAGGCTTTCGTACAATTTAGCAAAATTGAAAATGAGATACAAAGTTAACTATAAAATGGCCTCATCATATCAGAAGAAGTCATGAGCCACGGCTTCATCTCGCGTATCGTTCGGAGAGCAGGCATATTTCTCTGGAATGGTTAAAATCAATCCTCATACAGAATTTATATAACTCATATTTCTTATCATGGAAGCATTTCAACGAACAGGACTGGGCTTTCAAAAGATATGTCAGAAACAATGCAACCAGAAAATCTTCAACTCCAGTCATCAAGTTCAATTTCTGACACATCCTGCCCAGCCCTGTCGATGAAGTTTGTGCAGACCCTGAAAAATTCCTTACTTTTTGAACTACCATTTAGAAACTCATCTTTGTTCTCTTCGGCATTGAAGAGTGGACAGGACTGGGCATTGAAACAACACGTCAGAAACAAGACATCCGGAAAAGATCTTCGACTGTCAGTATTTTCACCGACTTTAACAAGCCTTTCCCGTTTCTGGTATCCAGCTCCAACGTCCAGTCCCGTCTTGTCGAAGGAGTTGCTCACTGAAAATCGCAAATCGACTCAAAACTAAAAACAAAGTAAACTCATCGTTATTCTCACAGGAAACGATGACAGGTTTAACTGCTCAAGGAACATGAAAATAAATACATTCTTAAAGCTTGACTTCTCCTACTTCATATGAACCGTCTGAAAATTTGAAACTTTAAATGGAAAGCACAAGGTAGAAGAGAAATATTATTTACACAAAATATTTTAACTTTAAACTTTGAAAAAGCTTACTTAAGATACACCATGATGTAGTGAACTACAGAAGCTTCAATCTTCTTTTCATTCAAAATTGATCGCAAAAAGTAATGGAATGCAATCGTTTCCAGTAATTTGTTATTAAATAACGAATATAAAGCTAGAAAAAGCTTCGAAATATTTCAATACACTAAATGAGCTTTGAATTGATTTAAAACAGTATTTCAATACACTAAATAAGCTTCAAATATATTCAAATAAATGTAAAAAAAGTATTAAAAAGTACAAGAGAATGACGCAAAAAGAAGTTCTAGAAGGCCATGGAAGGCGATGGAAGAATGATGCAAGGTTTTGGCGCCGAGTCGAAACTAGAGTCGGGCAGGAGATCAAACGGCGCCTCTGCCTCTCGGCCCAAGCAAACACACGGGACCAGCGGCGGTATGTGGCGCCGATGCCAGTGGAACGAACGTGCGGGCTTGGTAGAGTGGCGAGGCAACTCGTCCCTCGATCTGGAGACTCGGGTTCGAATCCCAGCCAAGCGTTTGCCTCCCAACTTGCAGAGACTCTTGGAGTACAGCGCCGGGTGTGGACGTCACCAACGATCGATCTGGTGGCGTCCGTTTCCTGGCGCGCTTCTTCAAGAATTTATGTTCGTTGGTGGCAAAGGGGCTCGTACACCCCGAACATTTTCTTTTTTTTGGAGCAACTACAAGTTTGGCCTCGAAGTGATGCCTCGTTCAGAGTGACTCCGCAATGCCTCGTTCAGAGTGACTCCGCGATTTTCCCTCGGCAAAGCTTGCAAAATATCGCTATTTCACAAGATTGCCGAGTAAAAACCACGGAATCACTCTGAACGAGGCACAACCTTCGAGTAAAAACCAACAGCTGGAGTTGAACTGAAGAGTCGATTCCGATCGGCCGGTAGTTGCGCTTCAAACAGCGTCTCTCCTCCGTCTTTGGCGAGAACAATCCTCCAGCCATCGTCGTAGATCTTCCATCCGCGACGTCCTTGTCAAGAAGCATCCAGATCTTCAGCATCATCTGAAAATTATTTGAATTATGAAGAAACAACTAAGAAAGGACACATGATCCGAGTAACGACTTTGAAAGAAGCATTACTTTAGAATCAAAAGGGGACGCTGAAATTTGAGAATTGGCCTAAATAAATTTGTAAGAATTTACATTTTTTTGTAATAAATTTCAGTGCTTCCCGCTCACGTTTTAAATATTTTATAAAGTTGTTCCTCGTCTTCTCGTTTTTTTATCTTCATTCCTCGAGATTCCTCATCGATATCGCAAAAACCGAAGTATGAGGTTAATTTTCGTTAGAAATTAATTACAAAAAAGAAAAATTAATTACAAAAAAGTCTCGTTTCTGGAAATTCAGTTTTTAAAACAAAAAAAAGACGTTTAAAAACGATTTCTCGCATTAAAAAATTAAATATTTTTTTTCCAAAAAAATTCGAACCCGAGTCTCCAGAGAAAAGCTTTCAAACGTGAAAAAAACGACAGAAACAGTTCTAAAACGTGACAGAAAGGCGAGAAAAGGCGGATCAATAAAGAAATGATGACAAAACATCCGTTAGCCGCGCCAAGATCAAGGAAAGTTGAGAGGTCAAAATCCCGATACTGTCAAAGTGCATGTCTGATTCGTTAATTTTTCTGATCGGGTCTTTCAAAATATGTATTTGAAGGTGAACTTGAGAATTTGGCGATTTCTCCTGCAAAATATCCGGGTTAAAGGACTAGAAATGCTCAAATTTTTGATTTATTCATGTCGTAACACGTCAAAAAAAAATTCTCCAGAAAAAAATGAGAAGAATTATGTATTTCGCTATGTTCTTCAATAACTGTAGTCCATGTTCTTTCAGAAAAGGCAACGCTTTTTGAAAATTTAAAAATTTTTAAAGACTTACAGGTAAATTGAATGAAAAAAGTGCTCTATCATATAAATATTTTCTCACTGCTCCTCTCATTTTTCTTCCAAATCCAGACAAAACACGAAGGAAACTTCCAAAATCTCTGCCAAACGGTTTGACATCGGGAATGAATAAAACATCGCGGCTGTTGGCTCAGCTTCTTTCTTTCTTGTTGACGTAAACTGCGACCCCCGTTAAATAAAATGCAAAACTACAAATAGAAGTTATAAAAAGGATGGAAAAGACGTCAAAATATTCTATTTACACGGGCAAAAATGTTCTTCTTCGTGAGATTGCTGGTTTTCCTGTTGCCGGCGTTGATCCAAGGACAAGGCGAAACGACCTGCAAGTCTGATCCGTTTCGTGGGTTTTTGAAATGGAGAATCGGCAAAAACTCGATAAGAGAACTTGTGTTTTTTGCTATAGTACCACACATTTTGAAAAAATTTCAGCTCGGAAAAAAAAATTTAGAAAGTTGCTCTATTCACATATGTTTCTTTCAAGAGAACTCTGGCTACTGGAAATTTTTTCTACTTTTCCAAAATTTTAGACTCTTCTCTTGCAAAAAAAAGTATGAGGTTATATATTTAGCGGCGTTGAATGGCGCGTGCCCCGGCGGCTTCGAACTTATCACCACAGGAGATTGTTGTCCATCAGCTGATGTGGAACGTTTGACAAAAAAAATGTTTTCAAAATCATTTAATGAGTTTTAGCTGTCACCACCACCACCACTACGACCACCACTACAACTACAACGACGACTACAACACCACCACCCCCTCCTAGTTTGCCAGAAGACAATTTGAAATCATATACTATAAAGGTTAATTTTTTCAGCAACAACCCCAACCACACCAAAACCAGCAGCCCCATGTGTCGATAAGGTGCTTAAGTTAAAAAGTGTTTGGTTAATATGACGATTTTCTAAAGCTCAACCCCAAAACCGGCGTTTCGGACTGCCCGAAAAACGCAAATCTCTGCAACAACGCCATCTACCGGCCACTCATGGAAGATCAATGTCCGAAAACTTGCGGATTCTGTGGTGAGTGTAAAAATATCAGCCGTGTCGAATTTCAGAAAGAAAATTCTAAAATTTCTGGGAAAAACTGAAGTGAGTTTTATAGGGAGTAAAAACCCCTAAAGCGGTATACTAAAGGGCCCCCTAAATCTCAAACTCCCTTCAGGACCCACTTCAGTTTTTCTTAGTTAAACGGGTCCGCTTAGTACCGACATAGAGCTCAAAAAAATTTAAAAGGGAAGGCTGAAGAAAAAAATTTTCACAGTACAAATCGGACACCTTTTTGAGAACCTTTCCGTTTTATTCTAGAATATTCCAATGAAAATCAGTGTGTTCAAAAACCAACTTTTCCATCAAATTCAGTTCCATCCGTAAGCCCAACCTCCGCCGCCCCTCCTACGATTTGCAAAGACAAGGTGAACCCGAATACTGGGGTCTCGGATTGCCCCAAAAATGCCAACCTCTGCAACAACGCCATCTACCGGCCGCTGATGGAGGATCAATGTCCGAAAACTTGCGGATTTTGTAGTGAGCAATTTATTTTCTAGGAGAAGTAGATAGTTGGAAAAGTCATGGCTGAAAATTTTATCCCATATTTTCCGTTCAAAGCCAGCAAGGAATTACAAATTTACAGCAAAAAAAAATTTTAAGTTCAACTCTTTTCAAAATTTACATGCTTTCTTGGTGTTTAAACAACAAGAAAGCGTGAGATGACCTTACAAAATTTTATTTTTCTAAAAATATAAAAAAATTAGTGATATTTCAAAGCAGCCGTAACAATCAAACACATAAAATAATGGCCTTAGAACTATCTTTTTTCCTAAAATCAAAAATTCCAGCCTCCTCGTTGGTTTCAACCACTCCAGCGCCTAGAAATTGTGTTGATAAGGTGAGTTAATATTTGAAAAACAGAAAAAAGAAATTGTCAAGGTGAATCCAACGACTGGAGTATCCGATTGCCCAAAAAGCGCCTATCTTTGTGAAAACCCGACCTACAAGCAGCTCATGATCGACCAGTGCCCTAAAACTTGTGGATTCTGTGGTGAGAAATCCTTTGACAAGAGTTAGACTTAACAAGAACGGGGAGAAAATACCTGATTTAAGCTACCACATCAAGTAGGGAAATAGTTTTTTTTTTCTTTAAACGCAACTTTCAAATACTTTTCTGAACTTCTATCGATTTTCGAATCGATTATTGGTTTGGGAGATTAAAGTTGGGAAATTGGAAAGTTCTTGACAAATCCTTCACTTATCACAAGACTTTTTGGTAACTTTTAACAACTCATTTTTTTAATTTGAGATTTCATCAAAAAAAGTTTTTCTTGGAGTTTTTATAGAAGAGAAGTTATTCGAAAATCTATCTCTTTAATTTACCTTTCATCAAACGAAATTTTCAGCCCTCGTCTCTTCATCAGTTTCCCCGCCAGCCAATGCTTGCGTTGACAAGGTGCGTTTTCAATGATCCAAAAAGCTTTGAAAAAATAGAGAAGACTAAACCTTCCAAAATAATGAAATTCCACGAAATATTTCAACGAATGACATAAAATTTGAATCATCAAAGCTTTCCAGACCGTCTGACATGATCAAATTCTAAGAAATCTACTGGAAAATGACAAAAAGGATAAATTCATGTTTTTTTTTCGCCTAAAAGCTTCGCCAGACACTCATCTATGTGTCGAAAATTGTCGAAAACAAAATCCGCAGATTAAATTTTGCTCTCAATTTCAGGTGAATCCGATGACGGGCGTTTCGGATTGTCCGCAGAGCGTATATTACTGTACCGACACCACCTACCGTACCCTTATGGCTCAACAATGCCCCAAAACTTGTGGATTTTGCTAGGATGAAAGCTGTGGTCGATAAAAATGATTTGCGGATCTTGAAAATGCAAAAAAAAGGTTCTACAGATTGCTCGCTTTTGTCGAGGGGCTCAATTCGGAAGTCTTTGCTAATTTTTTTTAATAAGAATGGTCTCAAAATTGAAACGGCTATTATTCTGGAGGCTTTTCAGAATGAAAAATTCAACAAAAAGATTCATCAGTATTTTTATATTTATCTTCTAATGATATTTAAAAATCATTTCAGAACACCTACCTCTTTAATGTTGATCTCCAACTTGAAATTTTCAAGGTTCATCATATTTTTGGACGAATCGTAACTGAAATGAGCTGTAATTGGTTTCACAAAGGTATATGAACCGAACTTAAACAATAAAATCTTCAAACAAAGGTGAAAAAAGCTTTTTATAACTTCCAGCACAAAATTGAAACGATTCGCTGGAAAAAATGGACTTCAGGAAATTTTACATGGGAATTTGAGAGTGAATTCAAATGAAATCAAGAGTGAAATCAAATAACAATATAAAAATGAAACCTTAACTCAACACCTTGTTATGGAAAGGTCATGGTATATTTAAAAATCCATTCTAGCGTGAATAAAGCGCATAAACCTATTAAAAAGTTTTTTTCAAAGCGACGAACTGTTTTTAAAGTTTAATTGTGGGTCGGAATAAGTTCTCTGCACCTTTCAACAACGTGACAAGATTTTCAAACGCATTCAGATAGAAAAAAATGTGCAAAATATCAATTTAAAAGCACAAATATAAATAAAATTCACAAAAAACTGGAAATGGGCAAGCTAAACTTGAATACAAACTGTATAAGAAGCATCAGAACAAAATATAACAAAATATCAACATATTATACCAACAAAGAAGAACCCAAAATTCAAAATACACCAAGAACAATTCAAAATACAACAATCACACAAAGTTCGCTGCAAAATACGGAATATCTGGATCGTTCTGTACACTCCAAGATCACTCAATCAACCGCCTCTAGCCGGACATCCACTGCTACAGACGAGGAACATGCCGGCCAACCCATCACCGACGTAGCTGCTTGGTGAGCTTCCGATCGAAAATGGAGATCCAAGAAGTTGCGCTTGGGCCAGACCCGAGCAAATAATCAGCGCGAATAGGCAAAACTGCAAAAAACACATTGTAAAGATACCTACTACGTGAAATTCAAGATTTTTATTGACCGAAAATGAAGTAAATATTTTGATCATGATTGTGGTGTTCGGATAGTTGAACAGTGGTGCATTAGAGGAAAGTTCATAGAATTTCGACAATCCTATCGAATTGAGAAATAATCTCAAAATTTTGTTTATAAAGATAGTTTTAATATAAGCTGAAATTATGCTTTGTGAAGTAGTAAAATATTAATCTCAATAAAAACAGCTTTCTTTTCTTAAATCTCAAGAAAATCCTTTATTAACCAAATTGGTCACTTCAAGTATCACGTTTAGCGGATTTTCTTTTTTTCCTATTATCTATATCCAAATTCTCAATATTCAACAGAAAACCTTGAAAATAATTTTCTTTGCTCTTTCAAATGTTAGAAATAACAAAAGATCAGGTTTTTAGGCTATATGATTGTTTATTTAAAACCCTTATTCAGCACTAAGGCCGGCACAATCAAGAGCTGTTCTGTAAAAAACTTTTAAAAAAACCTCTGGATCGGCAATTTTTTTGAAAAATGTAATCCGTTCCTTTCGTTATTGTCTTGCTCTTGACCAATACCACTGCCGAAACCGCACCCAGTTCGTTCATCCATTTTGAAACACTGAAAATGCATTATTATATAAAATAATAAACAAAAATCATAAAAGCTTTAAAACTGATAAATAAAAAAAAAACTGGAAGACCTTGTACAACGAAAATTTTTCAGCGGAAATCGCCAAACTTTTTGACTTCATTTCACTCTAAAACCTCATATAAAATTAATGAAGCAGACTGGCCTAATTTCAAACAGATAAATTTTAGGACCAAAATTAAATTAAATATTTTAGCAAAATTGCGATTTCAATTGTCGTAGATAATAGAAAAAAATCATTCTCAGCCTTTCTTTAGACATTTTGACACATGAAAAATGTTGGAAAAGTCAATAAGTTGTTCGAAAGGAGAAAAAAATGAAAAAAATTTTTTTCATAAATTTGAAAAAAAGTTGAAAAAAACAATACGGTTGCAATTTTGTGCATACACAGGAGCCGCGACTGCTTACACGCGCATTTTTCGTCAATTTACGCAGTCTTTTTTTTTCGCTATTTTCATGTTTTTCTATATAAATTCATTACCCTCATGCGAGACTCTTCTCACTAATGACTTTCAAAGGGCAATTAGAGTAAGAGTAAAGTTCGAAATGATGCCAACTAAAACCCTACATCAGCTTGTCGTTTCACTCATTATAACTCATCCCGGAATCCATTAATTCGTTTATTTCAAGCCGAAAACGCTCCCACCCACCAAGCTTTTCCCAATTTTTTTTTTCCGTTAGAAAACAGCACATTCAATTTTTCGGGTAGTTCTTTATGAGGTACTCAAAAAGGCTATTATCTCTGGAATAGCATAATCTTACAAAATTAGTTTCTGAAAGTCATTTCCCTACTTAATTGATACTTATTTTTCGAATTTCGAGTCGAAACGTCATTCAGAGGCCGCATAAATCCCAATTTTTGATTGTTTCCCTTCAGAGCGACTGGTTTTTTGTTTCATTGGGGCAGGTCTTGGCTGTTTTTCTTGAATTTGCAAGGTTTTTTTTTTTTTTTTCGAATTTTCAAAAGCAAAATACCCATTTTTTTGCTTTATTTCATTTATAATGTAAAAGGTTTCGATTAATTGTTGACACGGGTTTAAATGTCAAACTATCACGCTTTCTAACTCATCATCCTTTTATTAATTATCTCTAGCCCAACATGACAATAATTTCCGATTGATAGTGTTATTCCTATGTCTACCATTTGACCTACAGCTAAAAAAAGACAATTTTTTTGCGACGGAAAATTTCTCAAAATGTTCACTGTCCGTCTGAATCTTTTGATTGACTATCTCTGCAAAATATACTTTTCATTAATCTTGTTTTTTTCATGTATTTTTTTCGAAATTTTTTTCTTGATCTCTGTTCAAAAGTTCCCAGTCAGAAAACAAAATTTTTCAAAATTTGGCTTCTATTTTTTTCTTTTTCAAAAAAATTGTGATGAACTAGACTCACATTTTGACTTAGAAGCCAAAATTTCGTTTATTTTTTTTTCTTTTCTGACCTTAAGAAACCTTTGAAAAGACCAAGAAATGTCATTTCAGAAGAACGATTCGATTCATTTATTTTTTTCAGGAGCCTAAAACCTTTTGGGAAAGCTTGGAGAGAAGTGAGGATCAGAATCAGTCTGGCTCTCAGAAAAAAAATTTCGGATTTCAAATCTTTCTGTCAAGAAAGCCTGAAATTTCAAAAATGAACAGAGATCGCTCTAGGACCGTTTTTATAGTAATGAACTGCTCCTTTAAGCTTTTTAAACAAGCGAGAAGTTCATTGAACTCTAAATTGAGGATTTTTTTTTTAGCTAACATCTTTTCCAGTTCAATCTGAAGTCCATAATTATCTGTTTTTTTCCACCTCCCTAGGGAACGTTTCTTTCGGTTAAACTTTCGATGAGACTTTGTTGAAGTGTACCTTAGGACCTCCTGATTCCATAACAAGAAGAAAATTTTCCGCAATAGATCTCGTTTTCGAGTTAAGACACTTCAAAAGCTCAAAATAGCGCTTTTTGTCATAATCTGCGTATTTTGCGAACTTAGAAGCTCTTTAAATCGAAAACAAGATCTATTGCGAGAAATTGTTTTCTTGTTCTGCAATCAGAAGGTCCTAAGGTACACAAAAAACGGGTAAAAAAACGTTCCCTAGTAAATTTCCAGTTCAAAAAAATGATGTAACATTTATTGGGTTCTGTGTATAGCTTCATTTTTCTGCTCAGGTTAATCAAAACCCTCTCTCCAGTTCAATAATTGAAGCTTGTTCTTTTCGAACCTGTTTATAGCTTCATTCTACTGTTATACCCCCCTCTTTCAGCTCAAGTTCCACTTAATGACCTTGTTTTGCGTCCAGCTCAATTTCCAGCTCGACCTTTTGGTCATTCACTCTTTTTCTTCTTCTTCTTCTCCCCGGCTCAATTGTGCAATTATTCGTCGTACAAACGGCGAGCCCCAAACATCACGCAATTGGAAGTCTCTACACGGCTTCTTGGGTGGGTGGGTGCAGGCACAATTAAGCGGATAATTTGAGTCCAATTTTTCCAGTTCTTTTTTTCTTTATTTTTTTCTTGTTGTTTTCTTGGTGTCTTATACTTGTGTCAGTTAGAGACCAATCGTGAATTTCAGAAGCGAATTTTTGTTTTGAATTCTAGTTGGAAACGAAATCTGGATAGTTCGAAAGTCATTCGCTAGTCTTTCCAAAATGAATTCCTCTCAAAATATTCCGATTTATACCTCTAATTTGTATTTGAGTTTAAAAATATCTCTGGAACCATTTTTTTAACACAAAATTTCAAATTGTTAGAGGACCATTTCTTAAAAATTTCTATGCTCCTTTAAAATGTGCGGCAAGGTAGTATAGTCTGTGTACCACGGCTTGGAATTTCACCGAACGACATTCCGCTGTTCCGCTGCGTGCTCGCCCACGCCTTTAATTTTTTATTTTATTCAAGAACTCGACCAACACGTGTTCCTAGTGGGACAGTCCATCTATCCGAAATGAGAACCAATTCAAAGCGAGACCGAGGCTCGCAAAGACGCTAGACGACGCAGCGGAAGAGCGGAATGTCGTTCGGTGAAATTCCAAGTCTTGGCGCACAGACTATAGTCCATAAAGTATATTCCCATGAAACTTGGTTTCTTGGAACTTTTTTCAGATTTTTCTAACCTAACTATTCAAAAAAACTGGAAAAACTTCTTTCCTATGATCGAAATCAAAAAGGAAGTAATAATTATAATCATGACACCCGATTTAATTTCGAAACCCCTTCGCACGATTTCGGATTATTCATTATTGATGAACGTTGGCGTTCGACTTTTTCTTTAATTAGCACTTCCGATTTCTATTATGCTATAGAAAAAAACGTTCGCACTTTCGAAAGTTTCATGAAAGGCAAGCCTAGAGATCTTTTTGAAGTTCAAAAAAAGAGGTTTGCGATTTTTTTTTCCTGTTCTTCTCCGACCATTTTTTTCGGTTTTTTTCCAATTTAAAATTTCAATTCACCATTTGCTGGTGGGTTACTGTGAAATTGCTGTTCCAAGACCTTTTTCTTGAAAGTTTCTTTTTTTTTAATTTGAAAATAAAAAATAAATTTTTTAAAAAGCACTACTACTGAACGAAACTTAATCTCTTGCTCCTCCTACAAAACTCTCTCTCTCCAATTTTTGCCCACTATTTTTCTACTCGTCCCAGGACCATTTTTTTCAAGGGGGAGGTCATTTCAATTTGCGGTTGGGAATTTCCTGAAAATTGGTCAGGACACTCCATGATGTACCAGAAAAAGTATATGAAAGTCTAAACCTGCACAACTCTCTAGTTTTCGGGAAATACGGGCTCGAAACCTCAATATGGCCTATTTTAACGGATTTTTTGTGTTTTCTTCGACTTTAAGGTGTCCTTTCTCAAAACCTAGAGAACTGTGAAGTTTGACACTTTCAGGATCTTCTTTTGGTACATCAAGGAGTGTTCTGTCCCATTTTCAGGAAATTCCCAACCGCAAAGTAAACTGACTTTCCTTCTCAGTTCCATTGCTCTTTTGAACTTTTAAAGGTTAAAAAAATCCAAGAACCTTGCAATATTGACCTCCATTCTCTGCTCTTTTAGCCCCTCCTACACAGACTGCACCCGAAAAATCAAATTTTTTCCACGATTCCAATAGAAAATACACTATAAATATCCTTTGCAAACAGCCAAAAACACACGCTTTTTCTCGCCTTTGTTGTCTTTGTGGGGATCAAATTAAACGGACGTTCCGAGGTGACGCAGCCAGATGCCATGCAATCTGATTTTACTTGAAAACTGGAGAAAAAAAAGTGAAGGAAGGAACTGAGTTCCTTTTCACGTTGCAAATTAAACTTTTTAAAGTGAAAATTTTTGAAAATTTTTTTGATGTTTTTGGAAAATCATGGATAAACTGTATTGACAGTTCCTTTCATAACAAAGCTCTAAATTTGCTCTGAAAAAAGTGGCCACTAGAGGGTTTCTCAGAAGAGGCTTTGACCATTTTTAGAATCTGGGGCCTGGAACCCTCAAAATACCACTTCCCGAAAATCGCTTGAATACTATAGCCTGTGTACCACGATTTGGAATTTCACCAAACGACATTCCGCTGTGCCGCTGCGCGCCTTTGCGAACCTCGGTCGCGCTTTTAATTTTTCTTTTCTTTTTTTAAGGTACTCTACTTTCATGTGCTCTCACAGCAATAAAAATCAATTGAAAGTCGTGACCTAGACTCGAAAGACGCTTCGCGAACGCACGCAGCGGAACACCGGAATGTCGTTCGGTGAAATTTCAAGTCGTGGCACATATACTCTACTATTCAATAATGAAAATGATTCTTTGTCTACTGGAGAGTTTTTTTTTCTGGAATGTATCAAATATGATCTTAAATACCTCTTAAATATCCCTCGAGTGACCACTCCGCTGAGATCCCTCAAGAAACCACTTTTATCAATCATGTTCTTAACTCCAACTTCCTGCTTCATCAAATTTTGCCCCTCAAGTTATCACTTCCAACTCAAATCGCTCACTCTACACTTCCCAATCAAAGCAGCTTTTTCTCGATTTAACTTCTCAAATTTCTGAAAACAAAGACTTTCGAAAATTCATTCTCAAAACGGAAGCCAACGTCATTCCAACCAAATCTTTGAATAAGTTTTTAATTCGCCGACTTTCTCGATCAACAGGAACAATCCTCGTGTTCCATGGTCGGCGGGGATTTGTTGCGGATTTTTGGTTTCGATCAGAAAGAATGGCGAGAGTGACGAGTTGCTAAAACTATATTTGGGCAAGGATTTGTTCGGAGGAACTAGCCTCCACATGGGAGGTTTTAATGTGAACTTCAAAAGTTTTTTGGCTCACTTTTAAGATTTTATTCGAGAAAAGCAATGTTCAGTAGGTGAGAGGAACCAGTTTGGATCAAAAAAATCAGGAAAAAATATTCAGCTTTTCGATTTTCTTTCCCTATTTTCGGCGTAGAACTCGCGAATAAAAGTCATAAAAATCCTTTCCATTTAATGTTTAATTAGTTAAAAAAAATAATAAAATTTGGTTGAAAAGTTTTTTTCTCAATCAATCCTCAAAAAATCGAGCTTTTAATTACGATTTTTGCCCAAGATATCTGAAAACTAAACAAAAAAGAAAAATTCTTCGTCCCACCGCCTTCAACGTTTTCTTTTCATCTGCTTTTTCTCTGTTTCTACTAATTACATAATGAATAAATTATAAATTCAATGGAACTCGCTTTAATTCAAACGCTACGTAGAACTTTCGGGCAGGTGAATTTCAAATATCATTCTTTTGTCTGTTCTTTACAATTTCCTACGTCTGTGATTCATTTTCTTATTTTCGGAAATGTTGCGTTTTGAAATTAACTATAAATATATATTTTTTATCGCGTTTCTCTAAGCTGATTTGAAATTGGAAAACATTTTAGTATCTTTTAGTGATTCCTAAATTTATCTGATCGTCAAAAAGTGGCGAAATTCGTCAATTTCCATGAAATTCAAAGGGAAACAAACTGATAACGAAAAAAAATCTGTTTTTGAAATTGATAAATTCTGTTTCGATAACCTGTAAACTTTGATCAAATTTTGAAACTCGAATTTTCTTTCTTAGTCTCCTTTTTTGAATTTGTATGATTTCAGTTTGAACTCTTCATTCAAAGAACAAAAATTTCAATTTTCTGGCTTCTTTTCACAAAAACTTGTGAGTAACATGACCTACTACATGACTTAGAAGCCTAATTTTTCGTTTTTTTTTTCCTAGTTGTGACCTAAAGAAACCTTCAATTCTGACCTTAAAGTGTCATTTCCAAAGACCGCTTCAGTAATTATTTTTTGTAGAAGACTGAATGTTTTGAAGAGCTTAAAAGAATAATTAAAGTAGACAGAATCCTCTATTTTTTTGGTTCCTTCTGATTGTTTTCTTTGTTCGAGAGCTTACAACAACTATAAATTGATTAAAATCAGTCATTTTTTTTTTTTTTCAATCCATTAAGAAATCACTTCAATTTTTTTCTCTTGACTGGAAAGCTCACTTTTCAATTTTTTTCTGGAAGTTTTTTTAAATTTTTGTCTTTTTTTCCTGTTAAAAGAAAACTTCAAACGTCAATGAAAAGCTTCAATCAACAATAATTATCAAAATCAGGCATCTTTGATTTTTTTGCCCTACCTTTCCGATTGTAAAGCCCAAGAAAAGTGAAAAAAATCATCGAATTTTCTATTTTTTTTTTAAATTTCTCAGATTTAGAAAAAATAAAATAAAATATGTACTTTTTCAAATTCTAAAAGCGTTCCCATTTTCTAAATTTCCCCCCTTCCGGAAAATAGCGCCATTCTGACATCTAATATCATTGTGTAGAGCTATAATGTCATGTAAACATTTGCCAAATAATTCACCTTTTTTCTATATTCGCCTACGTAGCTTATTTACCCAATTCTTCAAGTCCAATTCCTTGTTTTTTGATTTGTTCTTTTAATAGGTTGTTCACAAAACCCGTTCAAAGATTATATTACCCTTTCAAGTTTGATCGCTCTTCAAGTTCTTTTTTGCAGAATCTGATTTCATTTTTTGATCTGCAACGAGCTCCTTTGTTCAACTTGAAGTTTAGTCAGCCGGGAATAAAATCTTTTTTACGGATAAGAAAAAAAAAGACAAGGAAACTGAGATAGTAGCCGCTTTTTGAAGTTTAATCCAGTTACTAAAGTTATTCTACCTGCTTTGATTATCCCTCAAAGTTCGGTTTTTTTCAATTTTCAAAAAATTATTACTTTTTCTTCTCACATTTTTTTCAGATTACCCACAATTTCCAATAGATTTCTGAATATTTGGTCTGTACTGACTAAAATCTCAACTAAAAAATTCCTTTCCTTTTTTTTCTCGAATGAACCACCCAGTTAAAAAACTGAAAAATATCTCTGAATTGATCGCTCAAGAGACTCATCCAAAGTTAAAGCTTAAGGACTACCTCTAACCGCTCATTGTTAGCCTTTTCTGAATTAAAAAGCGGTATAGTCAATGTTTCCCGACTTGAAAGGCGAGGGAGGCGGGGCAAGGGCCGGGACGCGTAGCGTTTGCGTACGCGGTTCTTGGCACGAGTTCAATTCAACCTCCAGGGAGCGTTCAGAGAGTTTATTTATCGCTCTTTTCACTCCTTTTTCGATTATTTATTGATTATGTTCATGTGTGCATCAAAATTCAATTGTAGAAAAACAGAAAAAGAGCGGTTGCCGAGCTTTTTAATTTGTCGGCGGCGATTGAATTGAACTGGCGCCAAGAACCGCGTACGCACACGCTACGCGTCCCGCTTCTTGCCCCGCCTCCCTCCCCTTTCAAGTAGGGGAACATCGACTATAGCGGAGATTAAAAATAACTCCGTTTTTTTTTTCTCAAATAATCAAGTTGAGTTCAAATCTCTTAAGTGATCATTCGATGATAAGCTTCAAAACACTGGAAAGACCTTTTCTCTTGATTTTTTCTTTTTTTTAGTGACAAAAATCAATAATTTATATTTTAAACTCGACTCAAAATGCCCGAGGACGCACTTGGGATGGTTCAAGGCGTTGCGGTTAGCATTTCATATAATAATGATCATTGAAAGGCCTTTCTGTACCTAGAAGAGCACACGGTTGTTTAAACAAGGCGAAAGCCGTTTATCGTCGGGTTCAGCTCAACCGCGAGCCATTCCAAGTGCGACCACTTTTTTCCCCAACAAAAAAACGTCTGCACTTGCAAATTCCGCGGATAGGAACATTAAAATGACGGGAGTTGGATAATATTTTGGAAAGTTAGTCAACCGGACCAAAGAATTTTCGAAAAACACAAAGTGAAGCCACACGGGTGCATGACTTCTCTACGTAAATGCCTGGGTTTTTTGTTTTGATTTGTAATTTTTGGCTTCTTTTCTTTAAAAAACGTGGATGGCGTTTTTCTTTTTTCAAAGTATAGTTCATTTAGGAAATCCTTAAAAAATTCTAGTAAAATAAATTAGCTCTTCTGATTTCTGACCTGGTAATTTTTTTTTCTGTCAAACGACTAAGGAAGCCTTTATTCAGCTAATTTTCGTGATAATACATTATTTTTCATAAATTTTTCGTATACCTGGAACTTTACAGCGAATGCTACTGTATGTACCGCTCCTTGGGTTACTGTCAACGCTAGGCCTTTTGGTCGCCTATTCGTTGCCCGAACGACGCGGCGGCTTCTACATTAGGATACCACGCGCAGAGGATCCGGAGGTTCGTCTTTTCCAAGAATTTTCTGAAAAAATTCTACAATTTAATAAAAGATGTGATATAACTGTGCATCAACTGTTTCTTGGAAGAATTAATGTGAAAAACTTGTTTGAAAGTATAATAGATCAGTAAATTTTATGAGAAAATGCGGCTGAACGCTTTGAGGAAAAATAATTATATCTTATCTCACTATGATTCAAGCATGATTGAAAGAACTTCATGTAGATTCTGAAATTATTGAGGACGATACAATTTTTCTAGTAATTTTGTTAATCAGAACGTCCCTAAAATTTCCACCTGCTTCTTTTCGAACTCAGAAGTACAATTTAGAGCCAAATAATGATTAAAGAAAAATTTACCTGGTCTGTTTTATATCGAAAAAAAAGGTTACAATTGTATAAAAAAAACTGAATTTGAGAGCTCAAAAAAAGAACAATAGCTTAAAAAAATGAGTTTAAATTTGATAGGCCTTCTATTTTTTTATTGATAAAAAGTCAAAACTTTCAATTTGTACGGGGCCCTAGTTGGTAGCTAAAATCACCAAAAGGTAAATTTTGTGCTTAAAAAACTATCACGGTCTAAATTGTTTTTGCTTAAAATTGGCAAGAATCTTGGATTCTCGCTCTAAAATGTTCGAAAGCCTAAAATTCATTTAAAAATTGACCGGAGCAATATAATAATCATTTCACCTGAAGCTCATATTTAAACTGGAGTTGAAACGAATCTGAACCAGCACGAAGTTCGGAAAAAAACGATCTTTTTCAGTCTAAAATTATCCGAAATCGACCACTGAGACCAAAAAATAACCGGGCTTAATCATTTTTTCCTTCCTTGAAAAAGTTTTCAATTCGAAATTTAACCCTAAAATGACCACTAAATGATTTCAGCATACATTTAATCCATTGGGCCCGGCACAATTTTACGATTATGAAATGTATCCACACGAGGCGACAGCCCACGAGCGGGAATCTTTCAAATTCATGGAGACGCCGGTAAGAGCTTTGCCTTCCACCAAAAGACTCTCTGGTTCGATTCCCAACCACGTCTTTTTGCAGATGGCTTTGAGTAATCCAGTTTGGAATATGGTATCCAAAGTCAGTGATTTTTACCGATGGATGAGGCGTGTTCGTTGATTTTTTGATTTCTCGATCTCAAACAAAAATCAACCTCCAATCATATCAACTTTTTTTTGTACAAGTGAGTTGCAAACCACGGAAAATGCTTCATCAAAATTTTTTATTTCAGGTCAGACCACCAAACGCAAATCGTCATATTCTTGCGAGCAGAAAATGTGTGTAAAAATGAATAGAGATTTTTTTCTTCAATATTTGAATAAATAAATTATATCGTTAAGAAAATTGCAATGAAATGAGAAAAAAGAAAAAAAAATAGAAAGGTTCCGGGGAGATTTGAACTCCCGTCGCAGGATTCAGAGTCCTGAGTGCTAACCGCTACACCACGGAACCGCTGACGGTCCAGTGAGCTCTGTTTGGACGAGGACTTATCGTCGCACTGATTGACATGACCGAGGCGGGCTCTTGAGAAGAACAGGCCCCGAGGGTAAACTTCCTTCAATCGTTGAGGACGGTCAGCGGTTCCGTGGTGTAGCGGTTAGCACTCAGGACTCTGAATCCTGCGACGGGAGTTCAAATCTCCCCGGAACCTTCTCTTTTTCTTGTCTTTTATCTCACCAGCTTCTTCCTAGCCAATACAAACGACAAAAGAATGGGGCGAGTCAACAGTAGCAGGCTGGGAATGCAATCATTTTTGTCCGAATAGAGAAAAGGGTTGTATAGTCAATGTTTCCCGACTTGAAAGGCGAGGGAGGCGGGGCGAAGAACAGGACGCGTAGCGTGTGCGGTCGCGGCTCTTGGTACGAGTTCAATTAAATCGCCCGCGACTCTTTGAAAAGCCCGTTTTTCGCTCTTTTCATTCCTTTTTCAATTATTTATTGATTATGCTCATGTGTGCACAAAAAAAAAGTAGAACACATTGAAAAAGAGCGGTAGCCGAGCGGGAAACATTGAATATAGTGACCCAGTCACCAAAAGGCAATCACGTGCTGAAATTTGAAGCTAAAAAATTAACTAAACATGAAAAACACTGAACTTGCGCTTCATGAGGAAGTTGAAGCTTCAGCTCATTTTCCAACGCTTTCAAATTGTACTTATTACAAAACTGGTTCTGTACATTGTTATAATGACGCGCCAAAAATACTCCATTTATCATTTATATAAAAAAAACAGGGCAAATGAAAAACTGAACAGGGAAGAAGCTCAAAAACGCGGACGTTAACTTGAATTATATAATCCTTGGAGCTGATAAATTGTTATCTAGGCGGACCCAGACTCATTCAAACATCCAGAACACAAGATAAAATAACCTAAAAATCCATTTAAGGCATCTTTATTTTGAAAAAGCTGCCGAAACGACCAGAAAATCTCTGAAAAAAATGAGAAAAAGGGCTTTCTGCATTTTCGTGAACTTAAGAAAATTACTTGTTCCCTCCCTGAAGTTTGTCTATGTTCTTGAGGAATCTCTACATCCGGTTGACCTCTCGCTTTATCTTTCTCTCGTCATATTGTTCACCTGTCTTTTTCCCGTTCGGAATTTTATCTTTCTACTTCAACATCAATTTCTTACGAGCTAGTACAAAAGACAGAGGGATCGAATGCGTCAGGACAATTATATTGATGATTGCGTCACTTTCGTCGAGATCACGAAAAGGGACGTATTTTCTGAGGTTCCAATTTGCCAATAAAACAACGGTCGCCCAATGAAGCCATAAAATGCCGTAAAGCTTGAAAATTGTATATTCGAGTAGAGAAAAAGAGATTCTCTTACAAAATGAAACATGACGATGGGAACGGTTAGGTCGGCGACGAATTTGTTCGCATTTATCGCAATTCTCTTATTCATTAGACAAAATATCGCAAGGATGATAAATGACACAATAAACAGAGAAAATAAAACCATCTACAAAAAGTAGATAGATTGAAAAAGGGGAGAAAAGAACCTGCTCAAAAATTTTCGGAGTGCCTCTTAAAGTGGTTTTTTCGATGAGCACGCCCCCAATCACTGTAATTTTTGTGAAAGCTACTCGAATAAAGTGAAAAACCCAACTACTAGTGTAAAAAGTGAAGAAAACCATGAAGACCCATGCTATGGTGATTTGGATGTTGAGAAAATTTCTGAATTTTCTTCTATACAAACGCTTCAAAAAAAAAAAGACTCACCGTTGGAAATATTTGTGATATTCCCTTCCGAACAGGCTAAGAAAGATCCTCTGAAGAGCCAGGATTGTGAAAAGCAAGTGCAATGATACTTTTAATGTTGTCGCACAGGTAATCGCTATTGTACAAGAAAAAATGAAGATCATTACTCTGGAAATTTTTTTTTCTAACTGTAAATTTTCCTTTTTGAACTCGTGTAGTTTTTTCAAGACAAACTTTTACCTTCTGTTGAAAAAAAAAAACTCACACGAGGTTTTCAGGTGACTTGTATTTGACCGATTCATAACCTAAAGATCGACGCAAATATTCAACCCAAAAAATGAAGTACAATGTGAACATTATCGAAGTTATTGTGAAGATTTGAACAAAGATCCGAATGTGTAACTGCAAAAACAGAAAATTTTTGAATAAAAAAAAATGACATTGAGTCCCAGCCATAGGAAAGTTGAGAAAGAACGGACTTTCTTTAGATCTCCCGAAAAAAAAACTGAGAAACCCTATGGAAATTTCAAAAAACACAAACTTGGCCTTTCGCGGCATTCCAATGTCGTGCCAAAAGCCCTGAAGTCATCGTATACATAATCAAGCAGGGAATAAACACCGTCAAACTGATGAGCAAGTCGAAAACTTTGACTTTATCACTATCGAAATCTCTCGAGTTGGACAAAAAAAGGGGCAAGTTTGGCGGGCCAAAGTCCAAGGCTTCCATTTTGAAAATCGAAAAGTTTTTTTTCAAGAAAAAAATTGGGAATATGTTCGCCTAGCCAATAAGTCTGGGGATTTCACCTGCTTTTCACGAGATAAATGTTGAAAAACTCCAAATTTTCAAAACTTCGGTTTTTTTGTTTTGAGAGTGAAAGCTTGTTTTATCGACTTTTCGTTCATAGAATCTGAAAGATTACTGTTTTCCGACCGATTTCTGATCTTCAAATGATCGATTCAACCTTGAGCTAAAAAAATCTGCCAAGCTTTTCTGATTTTTACATTGCGAATTTTATTGAGAGCTTCCCCAGCAAAAAAAAAGAGGAAGGTTCCGGGGAGATTTGAACTCCCGTCGCAGGATTCAGAGTCCTGAGTGCTAACCGCTACACCACGGAACCGCTGACCGTCCTCAACGATTGAAGGAAGTTTACCCTCGGGGCCTGTTCTTCTCAAGAGCCTGCCTCGGTCATGTCAATCAGTGCGACGATAAGTCCTCGTTCAAACAGACCTCACTGGACGGTCAGCGGTTCCGTGGTGTAGCGGTTAGCACTCAGGACTCTGAATCCTGCGACGGGAGTTCAAATCTCCCCGGAACCTTTCTCTTTTATTTTATCTTATCATCAGCTTCTTCCGAGCCAGGAAAAACGACAAAGGAATAGTGTGAATCAGCAGAAGCGAACTGGGAATACAATCATTTTCGTCCGAAAGGGGAAAAGGATTGTAGCGACCCAGCTTCCAGCTTATCAGTAGTACGGATGTTGCCCTTTGAAGCCATAAAAGTCCAAAAGCCTACAAAAGTTGATGATTAATATCAGGCAAAATTGAAAAAATCTCACAAAATGGAACATAATAATGGGAATGGTGAGGTCGGCGACGATTTTGTTAGCATTTATCGATATTTTTTCATTCATCAAGCAAAAAACCGCAAGGACAAAGAATGAGATGATGAATAAGGCGAACAAAACCGCCTATAAATCTAAATTTATTGGAGAATGCTAGAAGAAAGGAACCTCTTCAAAAATTTTCGGAGTGCCTCTCAAAGTGGTTTTATCGATGAGCATGCCCCCAAACACTGCAATTTTGTAAAGCTACTCGAATAAAGTGAAGAACCCAACTGCCGGTGTAAAATGTGAAGAAAACGATGAATACCCATGCTATGGTGATTTGGATGTTGAGAAAATCCCTAAACGATTAGAAATATTGGAATCACTACACCGGAACTTCACTTTCGGAAATATTTGTGGTATTCCCTTCCAAATAAACTGAAAAAGATCCGCTGAAAAGCCAGAATGGTGAAAAGTAGGTGTAATGCCACTTTAAAGGCTGTCGTCCAAAAAAGAACTGCGACAAAAGCAAAAGCGAAGATACTTTCCCTGTAAATTTTTTTTCAAAACCGTCAGAGTTGTTTCAAAAAAAGATGGCCAATTTTGAAAAAGATATTTTTTACAGGATTTTTTTCACCTTGGACTTTCGCCATTTTCAAACATAACCGATTGAAAACCGAGAGATTGACGGAAATATTCGAACCACAAAATAAAGTGGAAGAAGAACATGATGGAAACTATCGTGAATATTTGAATGAAAATCCGAATGTGGACCTGAAAACTTGGAGACTTTTAGAATGAGAAAAACTGGGATGATGGGGCAGATCATTCAAATTATCAACTCAATAAATTTGACGGTCCCTTGAGTAGTCTTTCGAATCATTTTTGGTTGTAGATAATCTCAAAATGTCTATTAGAGTGATCGCTCTGAGAACCTACTGATTTTTGATTGATGTGCTCCATATCAGAGGGATCACTGAAGAGTTTTTAGTCATTTTTCAAGGGACTAGAAGTGTTCTCTTCAGGTTTATATGTAGTTGAAAAGCGCTTAGTGTTCACTTAAGCAATTTCAAAGATCTCCTGCATCTACAGGGTGATCTAAAAGTATTGTCGCAAAAGTTTGCACCAGTGTGGCGCGCTTTGGCGCATATTCCGTGAATGTTTGAGTATTTCTATTTGTTGTCTGAATAAAAATGTGTTAGAGTTTCACCCCACTTGCTCTTTTTTTTAAAAAGTTACATCGTGTTTTCTTTGCGGCAATACTTTTGGACTACCCTGTAACTCGTTCAAATGTTTATCCAATTCAATGAAAAATCGTCTTTTTTCCATTTTCTCTCGGAATATATGGGGGAAAATGACGAACCTGGCCTCTGG